CTCTGACTTTATGATTTCACTCTCTCCACAGTCAACCTCTTCTGTAATTGATGGTCAGGTTTAAGAGAATGTATATGAAAACTAGAAACTCTATAAAGAAAATTATAATCATGATGGCAATCCATTGGATAATTACCTCTCTTCCCTCCTTGGTTTTCAGTGCTACAAACATTTCATTCATGGGAAACACCATGGTAGAGACACATGCAGGCAGAGGTCCTGTGTCGGAATCTAGCTCTCGCTCCTCCACTCACTCGCTGTGTGCCCTTAAACAAATCACTGAATTTCTTCAAAATAAGGAGGTACCTCATCAAAATAAGGAGAGTAATCCTTGCTCTGTATTTCTCCTAAAATCATTATGAGGTTTATATGAGAGAATGAGCATAAGAATATTTTACATGTGCTTGATGTCCTCTGTACAAAGCAGGGAATAATAGTATCTGCAGTATTGAGAAATGACTGGAACTTTGTAAGGATGTTGCTTTGATTCAACATCAGTGGAATAGACCACATCATTTTATTAGCTAGAGTGAAAGACTCTACTAAGAGAGGCAGAAATTGATTTTAAAACAGAATTATAGGTTTTACTTGTCTTTTAAAATAGAGAATAACTTATTTCATCATAAACCAAATACATGGCTCTGAATAAATAATCACTTTTTCCAGTCATTACATCTGCATGTGAATACATGTACACTGTGAGAGCACATAGAATACAGATGGCACAAATGTATTTCCATTCTCAGATCATTCTATAGCAAGTGAGGAGAGTCCAGAGTCAGGGTTCTTTTCTGTGGATAAGAGCTATTTACCTTGGAGTGGACAAACAGAGAACCCTCTCAAATGATTTGGATCAGGTGACTGTCCATTTCTCCTCCAAATCCTGGTCAGAACAATATATGAGGCATTGGTAACTCTGCTTTTGGGTTGGGATGCCCTCCCAGGTTCTTTTCTTCAAAAATTTCAAACACTTATTTCTAAGAAAGTGCACATACTAGAAGAATTCCACAGATGTCAATTTGGCAATCAGGACCCATTTTTTTTAGGCTTTTAACCCCATGAGAAGCCATCTTCCAAGATACAGAACAGTCACGTCTACTTGTTCACACCATGGGACCTCATGGGGCTGAGAGCCCACCCTCCCCAACCCATGTATCCATATAGGTCATCCTGATATTCTGTGTGGACAGCAATAGTAAATGGTTGACATCACTTTGTAAGACTAAATGGACATATTCAGTCTGGAGGGGATCTTGCAGGTAATTGAGTTTCATCAGAAACTTGACTTCTTTCCCTAATTTGTTTTTGAATATCCACTAGCACCTCCAGTCACAGGGCACACACCTTCTGAGGTCACCAACATCCACTCCCAACAGTGTTGTAAGGGCTGTAGTCTTTGTGTCAGCCCAGAGTCATTCCCATGGTGCTCTTTACACAGTGGCTGTGCCCTGGGCATAGGGTAGAGCCTTTTTTCCCATGGCAATCCTTCAAGTATTTAAGTACAATTCTCACCTGCCCAGCCTACCCATTTTTTTCTAGAGTAAGCACTTTCTGCTCCTCAATTTATTGCCCCCAAGATATAATTAGTCTCAACTGTAGTCTTCAGAATGTGTCCCTTTTGCCAAAGATGTTATTGTTCAGAGATTGGAGTCACCCATCCCTGCCCTCTGCCAGTCATATGCGAATTGCTGAGGATGGAATCACTTGGGACCAAGACAAGAGCAACTTCATCTCAGAAAGGCAAATAGATACTTGGTGGTTGTGGTTTCCTTTTGCTGTTAACACACTTCTATCACAAGTCTGGCAAGATGCCTGGAAATTATTTGAAGAGAAGGTCCTGGTATTAGCACAGGGTTGCCTCCTTCCACCTGGCACATGAGAAACTCATTCTTTGTTTGCCTGAGAGATAACAACAGGCACCTGCCCTGCTGGAGGTGTTTGTAGTCATGAGAAGGCGTTTGGAAACAACAGAAGATTGCTCAGAAGATGGTATCTGAGTCTGCTCTCCTCAGCCTGGATCGGTTTTTTCATCTGTAAGGTAGGGATGAGTCCTTCCTTGTCTGGGTCCAGGAGAATTGTGCCATTCACATGAACCCATGGGATGACAGCACTTGATGAGGGACTCTCCTAAGTATGAGATATACATACTGTCTTTTTTTAATTTTATTTTTATTGAAGTTATTGGGGTGATATTGGTTAACAAAATAATATATGTTTCAGGTGTACAATTCTGTAATACATCATCTGCATATTGCACCGTGTGTTCATCACCCCAAGTAAAATCTCTTTCTATTACCACTTATCCCTATTTACCCTCTTCTACCTCCCCACCCCACTTTCTCTCTGGTAATTACCACACTGTTTTCTGTGTCTACAAGGTTCTTTCCATTTGGTTAATCCTTTCACCAACCCCTCAAACTCCCTCCCTTCTGACAGCTGTCAGTCTGGTCTCTGTATCTATGAGTCTATTTCTACTTTATTAGCTAACTAGAGGTCCAGTTCATGACATATGTGCACTGGGGGGAAGGAGAGTCTCTTAGCCTGATGTGGGCCTCTCGCAGCCCAAGAGCCCTCAGGAGATGTCCACCTGCTTGCATAGGTGAGCCTGGCTTCTGGCTAAGCAGTGGTCCCCCTGTGGGAGCACACTGACCACCAGGGGGCAGCTCTTGCATTGAGTGTCATAGCACAGGTCATTCTGCTGTTTGGTCAATTTGCATATTAGCCTTTTATTATATAGGATTTTCTTCATTGGAGTCCACATATAAATAAAATCATATGATTCTTGTCTTTCTCTGGCTGGTTTATTTCACTTAGCATATACTCTCCAGGTCTATTCATGCTGTCACAAAAGGTACGATTTCCTTCTTTTTTATGGCTGAGTAGTATTCCATTGTATAAATGTAATATAACTTTTTTTTATCCACCCATCTACCAATGGGCACTTGGGCTACTTCCAAATCTCATCTATTGTAAGTAACACTGCAATAAACTAGGGGTGTATATGTTCTTTCAAATTAGTGTTTTGAGTTTCTTCAGATATATTCCTGTAAGTGGAATCACTGGGTCATAAGAATGTTCCATTTTTTAATTTTGTGAGTTAACTCCATACTGCTTTGCACAGTGGCTGCATTCCCACCAACAGTGTATGAGGGTTCCCTTTTCTCCACATCCACACCAGCACTTTTTTTTTTAATTTCTTGATGTGCACCCTGCTTTTGCTGGTCACTAGGTTGTATACCATCTCCAGTTTGCTCTGCCCACAGTGCCCCCACTTTAAAAAAAATATGGAAAATTATCCACTTTAGAAAAAAGATATTCAAAGTTGTCATAACACTGCTGAAGATGACTTTGTAAATGGAAACATTTCTTTTGTACCAAGGAAGACAGTGACTCTGCCGTCTATTCTAATGATTCCTAACACCCCAATTTAAAACCAGAAGCAACATGGTGCCTTCACTGGGAAAACACCAAGTTCCCAGAATCATCTATAGTCACAGAGCCATTAACCATGTCCAGGAGTTCAGCCAGGGAAGGCAACGACTGCAGGTGCTGATGAGTATAGCAAAGCCAACCACTTGTTCTGAGCCAGGACACTGAACTCTGCCTACCTCATTCTCCTAGGACTTGATGTGCATAATAAAAATGTTGCTTTTGCTCAAAAATGGTATTTGTGGATTTTCTCCTAGAATTCAGCATTGTTTGCTGAGCTAACAGAAACCTGGGTGTTTTCTGTAATGAATAAATCAAGTATAACCAAGCTGTAATAGTGATGAAATTGGAGAGATTTTTGTTTTCTGAAGCCTAAACCTAAGAAATATGTAGGCTGTATAGACTTATATCGATGGTAACATGTTGTAGCACAAAAATAACAGAACAGAGGAGTAAAAATCCTTTAGTCAGGCATGTGCAAGGAAGGTTATTAATACTCAAAAGTTCATAGGGTTAGAAAATTTAGATATTAGTGGATAGTAGAAGGACCCTTTGATATGTGCAATGGTCCCTTCTTTTCCAGGAATACAGGCTGGACCAACTATAAATTTGTGGGGCCCAGCACGAAATGAAAATATAGCAACCTTTATTCGAAGAATTTTAAGATGACAACAGCAGGGCATTAAACCAAGAGTGTGCCCCACATGTCAAATCATGGGCCCTGTGTGACAGCACAGATCATATGCCCATCAAGCCAACCCTACATACAGAAGACTGTTCCCGTTAATGAGATGTGAGTGGTGGGAGACATGTGCCACTCTTGGAGTCAGGCAGTGAAGAGCCCTTGTTTGATCTCTATTCTCTTCCTTTCCTGTCACATCTTTGTGTTGAGTGGATGGAGTCATCATATTGGAGCAGTCACCTCTCTGAGGAGATCTCTCCTAAATAGTCATCTGAACCAAGAAAAAGAACTTCTTGTGTGCTAAGCCACTGAGATATGGGAGTTGTTTGTTACTGCAGCATCAGCTTAGGCTATCTTTACTATTATAATACATGGAGAAGGCCAGAAGTAGAAAGAAATGTCTCACATTGGCAAAGTACTGCAAAGGGAAGGAAACTAGATAGTGAATATTGTGTGATGGTTTCCACACGTTCATTTCTCTAGCAATGAAATAAGAACTGATCTTTAACATGCTATGATTCTGTGACTATACATGATGCTACTTTCCCTCAACTCATTTAAAATATGTATTATCTAAGATGAAAGAGTACATCTTCTCCTTTAGCTTTCCAGTCTCTTGGCCCATTGCCATCCTTGGCCCAGTCTCCATTCACTGAACATGTCCAATACTTTCAGAGGCCAAGAGGAAGGCACTCTTCTGGGGCAGTGTTCTGCTTTGCAGAAAGTATTTTATCAAGCAGACTTTAATTTGTCACCATGACCAAATAGGTGCTTGATTCCAAAAATTCCTGCTGATATTGTAAGAGTCTCATTGCTTTAAAAATATTGCTGAAACTGGTCCTTTTTGTCATTGTTTCTATGTTTTCTCAACTTGAATATCCCATTGCCTTCAGAGTTGTTCCTCGTTGCTCTCAAACACCGGGTTGCTATAAGACACGTCCCTGCCACACTCTGGCAGGTTAGAGGGAGACATTTGGTCCAGTGGGGGCCATGTAGGGTCATTTGCCAAGGCCCGGTGCCATATCCGATACTGGCTTTTTGATTGATAGCCAAAGAACCTTTTGATCATCATCCATAGGGCTCGGTTTTCAATAATGGCCTCCTGCAAAATAAAAGAGTTGCTCTTTACAATCAAAGGTCAAGTGCTTCCAGGTTATGGCCCCCATTGACTCTAGTAAGACACTACTGTGTTGGCTGCCAGTGCCCAGCTTGACAAAGAACTTCAGGCCTAGGGGATTGTTCCAAGATGGCTGACAGGTAAACACCTAGCTGCAGCCGCACACAACAATTTCAATAAAATACAATTAAAATATAAAATGGACATTACCCAGAACTACAGGAAAGTCGACTGACTGGAAATTCTACAATGAGAAGCACGGAGAAAACCAGAAGGAAGCGCGGAGGAGCTGTAAAAGCCTAAGGTACGGAGACATGCGGCGTGCGCGGAGAGGACGGAGCCAAAGAGGAGGGAGACTGAGTGCCTGGCTGGCGTTCCCTAGCGGGAAGGAGATAAAAGCTCCGACTGTGCTGGGCCCCAGTTCTGACTGCTCTGAACCCCAGTTCTAGGCCAGACCCCGGGGACCCAGGCTCACACAGAGGGAGCTGGGCTGCGAGGAGGAACCCCGGGGGAGCTGTGAGAGGAGGTCCCGGAGGCCCGCACATTGCGCGCAGAGAAGGGACGGTTGGCTGTGCCGCGGGATTGCCGTGACGGGAAGGAGACTGGGGCTCCAGACTGCTCTGAACGCCACCTCCAACTTCACTTCCAACTGAACTGAACCCCAATACTAGGCTCATTGGGGGAGAGCATAGACTGTTTGGCAGCGGGCAAAAATCAAGGGTACCTTTCTCTCAGAGGTGCTTGCAATGAATACTGAAGGACCTGCATAGGGTGGGGCTGACGAAAGCCAAAGCTGTAGGCTCCACCATGAAACCCCGCCCCATCCAAGCAGAACACAGAGACTTTTAAGGCTACCAACTCAGGAAAGCTGCAAAAATGCCGAGACAAAATAGATCACAAACGAAAGAAATGGAGGACAAAAAGCGACTGGATATAGAGTTCAAATCTATGCTTATAAGGTTTTTCAAGAATTTCCTAGAAAAGATGGATAAGACCTATGAGGATATGAAAAGGGTTCAACTAGAATTAATAAGGAATCAACAAGAAATGATAAGGTATCAACAAGAAATAAAGAATACATTGTCTGAAATAAAAAATATTATACAGAGTCCTAAAAACAGAATGGAAGATCGCAAGAATCAAGTCAAAGAGTTGGAACATAAAGGGCCAGAAGACACTCCTCCACAGAAGCAAGAAGGCAAGAGAATCCAGAAAGTTGAAGATAATGTAAGAAACCTCTGGGACAACTTCAAGCGAACCAACATCAGAATTATGGGGGTCCCAGAATATGAGAGAAGCAAGATATTGAAAACATACTGAAAGAAATAGTGACCGAAAACTTACCCCACCTGGTGAAAGAATTAGACTTACAAGTCCAGGAAGCGCACAAAACTCCAAACAAAAGGAATCCAAAGAGGACCACACCAAGACAAATCATAATTAAAATTCCAAGAGCAAAAGACAAAGAGAGAATATTAAAAGCAGCAAGAGCAAAGAAGGTAGTTATCTATAAAGGAGCACCTATAAAATTGTCAGCTGGTTTCTCAACAGAAACCATGCAGGACAGACGGGAATGGCAAGAAATATTCAAGGTGATGAATAGTAAGAACCTACAGCCAAAGATAATCTATCCAGCAAAGCTATCACTCAGAATCGAAGGTCAGATAAAGAGCTTCACTAATAAAAAAAAAAAGCTAAAGGAGTTCATCACCACCAAACCAGAATTATATGAATTGCTGAAGGGGGTTCTTTCAGAAGAGAAAGTAAATAAAGATAAAAATTATGAACAACAAATACGTAACTATCAACAAGTGAATCTAAAAACCAAGGAAATTTAAAAAAAAAAAATCTGATGAACAATATTAACTGTTGAATATAATAGAATCAGAGGTATGGAAGGGAGTGAATTGACGATTCTTGGGGAAAAGGGGAGAGAGGGATGTGGGAAGATACTGAACATAAACTGTGCACCTATAGATGAGGACAATGGGGAGTGGGGAAAGGGCAGAAGGTGGGGTGGGAACCTGGTGGAGGAGAGCAATGGTGGAGGGGTGGGGGAAGGAACATTTGTAATAATATGAATAATAAAACTTTATTTTTTTTAAAAAAGAACTTCAGGCCTAGACAAACAAATCCAAGGTGGTTTCACATGATAGGTGCTCCAACCTTTCCACTTATAGAACTCCTCTGGGATAAGAGTAAAGCACATGTTTTCAAGAATCTGGAAACACAGTTTGAAGTAGTCTGCCTCAAGGATGAAATTCCTTCTGAATCTCATACAGAAATTAAATTTAATACCATAGGGTCAGGAAATATAGAGGTTAGTGGACAGTGCCAGGTTTCTTTGATATGTCCCACGGTTCCCCCTAACATTTAAAATCATTCAAATGTCACAGTCCATTCCACACCACATCCATATTTGATTTGATATAAAATAGCATTTAAAATTACTCACCACCAGCTGAAATAGACCCTATAGGAAGATGTGCCACATGTATGGTGTGGCTTTGGTATGTACCTCACTGCATAGTTAAGAACAGAGGTCAGTGAAATTGGAATGTGGGCCACAGCCTTGGAGTTGAACAGATCTAGATTTAATTCTAGCTCTGACACCTACTATGGACAAATTAATTACCCTATCAGAGACTCAGTAATTAGAAATAATAATTTCTTCCTCTTAGGTGTGTCATGAGGATTATATAACTCCCATCACAATGCAGGGCATGGCATGGCTCCTACCTCCCCTTTCTACCCTCTGAACTATTCATTTAACAGGCTGTGCACTCTGGCCCTGTTCACATATACCTCTAACCTTCACTTACAAATAATTACACCGTATTTTTAAGATTACCAGGTACCTCTCTGTAGAAACACTTTGGACTGTCATTTTATTTCATGAGTTAGACTTAGCCTCGAATAGAGTTCAAGATATGTTACAATACAGGGTACATGGGAGGGTATTATCATTTTTATCATGTTTAGTCATGAAATTGAGGGTCCTTATGACTTTGGTTAAATTTAGCTTTTGAAACCAACTTCTAGAAATAATATCTCTCTTTCTGTGGGTCTATAGGCCTTGAAGACCTATCCTTTCCCCGGATAACAGCAACCACCATGGCAGCAGAAGACTGTTGCCTGGACCTGACTAATGATCACAAGGCCCAGACCTCTAAAGGTAACATCATGACCCAAGTTATGTTTTTGTTTTTGAGCCCAGAATGGAACCATCTCCTTGCTACTTTCCTTTGAGACCAAGCAGAGGGACAGTGGAAAAGACTTCAGAGCTGTCCTCAAGCCTGGAGAAATAATTTATTACCCTTACCTTATCTCTGACCAATCAACTCCCAGCAGGACTGTGAACCCCTAGCTAGCCCACTGTGTCTTGTGATTTTACCCTGTATGATCTGTAACCTACACATAGCAAGGGAGTTCAGGCTTTTGAGCAGTAGCTTCCTGTTCTCCTGGGTGATGTCCTACATTAATAAAGTAGACAATATTTCTCCACTGCAATTCTCAGGGTCTAGTGTTTGGCTCTGCTAGCGCCTGTGAACGATCTCCTCCTGATCCCTAACAGTCACCATCTTAGAAGTTATGAAAGAAACAAAGCAAAAAAATATGAGGAGCCAAGCTGCCCCACAGAATTAGAACTGGTTTTGGTGTCTATCACAGGTATCTTTGTTGAACTGAAAGAGTGAATTCTGTAGTATTCTATAAGAAACTTTGCCAGGATAGTAGTTTTCCTAAAATCCACCCACTGCCCATGGAAATAATAGAAAATAACTAGTGTGAACCTTCCTATAAAAACTGATCATTTGCTAGCAGGCTAAAAAACACATAGCATTTCATCAACCTTGCAAACCTCAGGGCTCACCTAGCCAGACCTGTTATTCTACTTTCCTACAGCAAGGCTTTTGTCCTCCTTAATTTAACAAGAAAGTAGTAGTTCTCCTTGGAGCTGGGATAAGGCAGGATCATGGGTATCCAATTAGTGGTCTTAAAATCTAACTTACCTTCTGGAAATCTTAGCAGGCTTTAAACAAAACAATGAAGCAAATCCACACACAAACACACACACACACACACACACACACACACACACACACACACACACACAAAGCCTTTAGTGCTCTACAACGTGCCTTGAGATTTTTCACAGTTCTGGATGTATGATGGCCAATATCACTCTGCTACTCTGGAAAATAAAACTGAAGGCCTGAGAGGTAATCTGTCCTGTCACTCTACATTGTAAATTAAACTCAGAACTAGAAACAAAAGAAATGCCTTGATAAGATGCCATTCTTAAAACAAGAAAAACTAAAAATATCCTCATGAGCTCTCAAATAATTCATATATATATATATATATATATATATATATATATATATACAAACACCTATATATAGGTGTCTTAGAGTGGTCTCAAATGGCTGTTCAGCCATTTGGTCGATTTGCATATTAGGATTTTATTATATACATACAAACACCTAAATGCAGAACAGCTGAATGACCATCCGGATGTTCACTCTATGATACCACCTGACACCAGGCCAGCCAAGGTAGGTGCGATGTGGTTGGTCAGGGCCTCAGCCATCGCCCCCTGATTGTCCTGCAGAGAAAGGCCCAGGCCACTGACCTGCAAGCTGCAGTAAGTTGGTGGGGCCTCCCTCTGTGGGGGGATATCCATCCTGGGGCTCCCAGACTGTGAGAGGGCACAGGCTGGGCTGAGGAACCCCTCCCCCCTCAGTGCACCAATTTGTGCACTGGGCCTCTAACAAATAATAAAAACGGGGAGGGGTTAAAGCTATAAATATTAGCTCCTCTGTGTCTCAGCTAATGGTTAGATCATACAAATTGGCAAAATAAAGGTAAGGTCTTGTTCAAATCTGTTTGTTTGTTGGGAAGCTCTAAGATTAAGGTTAGGGTTAGATCTCTCAGCAGACCAGACAACACTCAGGACTCTGCAAAAAAAAAAATAAAAAAAAAAAAAAATAAAAAAAAGCCAGCCATATCCCATTCTTATAGCTCAATACCTCTCTGGATCATCTCTACCCTAGCCTGGCGAGCCAGTATGGAGTTAGCACAGCCCATCCTAAGAATCCTTATTATCTTGTGTCAGATGCACCTAAATGAAACCTGAGGAAAACATCTTGCTGCATCCATAATAATGTGGGGCCTTTACCTACTCTGCTAAGCTCACCTCATGAGGCAAGAATTCACCGAAAAAGGAAACTGAAGTCCTAAGAGATAATCTGTCCTGTCACTCTACAGCAAGCATGTCAAACTCACAGCCCGTTGGCCAAATGCCTCAATTATTTGGCCTGTGTTAACCTTTGAGTTTGACATGCTTACTCTACAAAGACTCAAATGGCTTGGGTTTATATCCTCCACTGACAGCAGAGAATCGGTAACTTCATGGAGGAGACCTGGGACCTGGAACCCTGCTATGCTATTTCTCAGTGAAGGAGCTGCTGGGAACACACACTAGACACCCACAAGTGTCAATTTCTCACTCAACATGAGAAGCAACAGAGAAACCTTATCTTCCACGAGTATTAAATCTCCCTCTCCATCAGCTGGCATCATGCCCTAGGATATGGCACATGGTCATCAAATGCTTGTGAAAAGAGTGAATGAAGACACGAATGCCTGAATAATTGGTAGACACAAAGTAAGAAATGATAAGTACCACATGATTAATGGAATAATCTTAGCTTATATCTACCAAGATTACTTACTATATGCTTTTCACTGTTCACATTTCATGCTCACAGTAATCCTTGAGGTAAGGAAAACATTAAAATAGTTTCCTCACTATTTTATAGGTGAGGAAACAAAGATACAGAGAAGTGGAGTAGCAAGGTACTGCCGGAAGTCAGAGAGCAAGAATGGGTGACACCAGGATTTAAACACAGGGACACTGCCCCCGGCTTAAGCTCCTAACGGCAACTATGCTGACTGTGTAATGGCTTCCTGCAAGGGGATTGTAGCAGACTGTGTTGCTCTGTTATCCCTATATCTCATCCCTCCCAACTCTTCCCTGCTTGCCTAAAAGGAAAAACAAATAAACACATAAGCAGTCTAAGCTAATCTGTCTATCGTTTTGGTACAAACCCACTTTCCCAGAATTCTTTTCTACTCAGGATGCCAAGGAGACACAGTTATAATCAATGAGCATAAGTAAAAGCCTGCAGATGGACTGTAGGATTTTTTTTGTTCACTGATAATAGATTCATACTTGAAGGGAAAAAGCTTGCTGGTGCCTACCTTCCTTTTTCTCCTACACTGAAAACAGATGCAATGCCCAGCTGTGCAGAAGCTGTCTGGGCGCCATAAGCAACAAGCACAAACATGAAAGACCAAGATCTAAGGCTAGTGGGACAGAAGGTAAAAGAAGGTAAATTCCTCATGACGCCCAGTCACTAAATCAGCCCCGAAGTCACTTACTTCCAGTCTTTTTAAATGGGTCAATACGTATCTTTATTGTTTAAACCACTGCTAGTTGACTTTTGTTCCTTGCCCAACTGAGCTAGGCATCCAGAAAAATTCACAAAGAGCATAGTCCTGCAGCTGTGCCACTGAGAATAGATGAGCATTTTTTAAAGTGTATATATATATATATATATATATATATATATATATATATATTATTGTTGATAGTATTATCAGCATAGCATTTCAACACACAGAAGTGGAAAAGACGTAATAGACAGAGGAAATAATGTGATTGTGGACAGAGACAAGGTACATATTCCTTTAAAGGGCAAGGACTATCTTCCGCAATTCAGTGTGAGGACATCCCTGATGATGCTCTTTCATTAACTTGGTGGATTTGGAAACCATATTCTGTAGCACAGTGCTTCTCAGTAGGTGGTCCCTGAACTAGCAGCACCAGAATCACCAGGAAACTTGGGGAATGAAAGTGTGTGCCTGCTCCAGATCTACTGAGTCATGAAAGTTGGGGGCAGGGTGGACAATCTGTGTTTTAATGCTCTCCAGGTGATTCTTGTGTCCAATCAACTTGAGAAGCCCTCAAACTTGAGCATAGAGAGAAGCTCCAGTACCCTATTCTTTGTCTTATTCTACCACCCGTTCCTGTGCAATCGTTACCCTGTTCAGCAAGGAAGGTTTGTTGAAGTCCTGCCTACAAAATCCTGTGGGATGTCAGGTGATAGTGCCCCTATGAATTCCCCCCTCACTAGAACAAGCCTGCCTTTGTAATGAGGGCGGGAATGGGGACAGATGGGGTCCTGCAGCTCACCTCTCCTTTGACATGCCTTTCGGGGGACACCCCTCCTGACTAACAGTAAGTTTTGAAGAATGGAGATTATGTCCAACAGTACTGAAGGAGGACAGAGAGAACCACATAGCAGAGATGAGGGAAGTACAAGCTCATTATACTGAGGAAGTGGGAGCTGAAGAATAAAGGCTAGCAAAAGCTCACTAGGAATCTCATTTCCCATCTGTACAGTAAAAATGATACAAGTTCTTAAGTAAAAGAAGCCAGATACAAAAGGCCACATATTATATGATTCCTTTATATGAAATGTCCAGAATAGGTAAGTCCATAGAGATAGAAAATAAATTAGTGGTTGCTAGGGGCTGAAGGAGAAAGAAGGGGAGGTTTAGAGGGACTGCTAATGGGACAGGATCTTTTGGGGGGGTGATGAGAATGTTCCAGAATTAGATAATGGTGGCGGTTGCACAACTCAATAAAAATACTAAAAATCACTAAATTGTACACTTTTAAAAGGTAAATTTTATACTGTGTGAATCACATCTCAATTTTAAAAAATGATCTGAGTTGGGCCTTTCTTTTGTCAATTTTAGAAATGAACAGACCTTAGCAATCATAGTTCTAGTCTCCCAGACCCACTTTACAGGTGGGAACACAAGCACCTTTTTTTGAGCTCATCAGAGGAAAGCACCGTTGCTCATGTTACCAAGAAATGAAGCCCCTTGCACTGCTGAGCCTTGTCAGCTAAAGATGTTCCTTTTTCAGGCTCCCCTAAAATGTCACACACACACACACACACACACACACACACACACACACACACACCCCAGAGATCAGCAGCCTGAGGGCACTTACCTCCACAAAAAGGGATACAATGAAATTGCAGCTGAGCATAATGACAATGCAGCCCCTCCACAGGACAGGAGTGCAGAGCAACTGGCAGGAGACAAAGCACAGTTAGTCTGGAGACAAATATATGCTGGAAAATATCCACGTGTTCACAGTGTACACTTTCATATTTTATAAATCACATATGCAATAGACACACAGGTGTGTACATGTTATACTCATGTATAACAAATATGTTTTATGTGGGTAAGTATTTATATGCATGTATGCACAGAAAACACTGTGGAAAAATTATACCCAATGATGCCAGTGACTTTGGAACTATGATAGCTACTTTTTTAAAAATCTTCCTTTCTTTCTTCTTTTTTCTCTGTAATTTCTAAATTTTCTAAAATAAGTCTGGTCACCTTACAACAAAAAAAATAATAGTAAAAGTATTTTTTGTTTGCTTGTGTTGTTTGTTTCCATGAGGGAATTCAGGGATGTGACTCTACTCCCAGGAGGCTCTGAGGGCACACATGCCACTACCTGTCTCTTCCCCCACTTTCTCTCTATCTTCCCTAGCCCCTCCCCAGGCTCAAGATAGATATGTTATCGATGTACAGTAAATGGGTGAATGAATAAACAAGAGGAACAGCCAAGTGCACTTTACCTGGCACTGCCTCTTATATTGTCTTTACACTGGTGGGAGTAAATACTGGTACAGCTTTATTGAGGGACATGCTATTAAAATTTAAAGTCCAAATTCATTTCTAGGAATTCACCCTAGAGATGTACTTGTACTTGGTTGGAATTATATATGTATAAGGTTATTTTATTGCAACTTTGTTTGCAATACTAAAATTTTTTGAACTCTAAATGTTGATCAATAGGGACTGTACATACATTATGGTATGGTATGTTGATCAATAGGGACTGTACATACATATATATATATGAAATACTACATTAGTATAAAAACAATGAGGAAGTTTTATGTACTGACATGGGATCAATTAGCAAAATAGACTGTTACACAAAAGCACAAAGCGCAAGACTGTTGATGTGATTGTGGCAGCCAGGACCAGGCTCCACTCTGATCTGTTGCCGAGAGCATAAGTAACAGGTGCCCCAGCTGATAGATGCAGAATTCATTCACCCTGAGGCCACACTTCCATGGGCTGCTCATGGCTAATAAAACTGGGGACAGCAAGATTCCAATCTCATTCATTCTATGAGATACTATATACCTCTGATGAGCAATTTTGGCTCAACTTTTTTATACCTGTGCTACAGTCCGAAACTACTCACCTTCCCCACCTTCCTTCCGTCTCTCCTGCACAGAGGTCAGACCACCTAGTGTAGTACCTTCTGTGCCTCCTCCAGCTTCCTAAGGTTTTTTTTTTCTATAGGCAATCCCTCCAGTAACTTTCTTACACATCTCATCTTACCGTGACATCTCCATTTCAGAAGACCTAGACAAATGTAATAGTTTGCTACTATTTGTGTAACAATGTGGCAGAATATACATATAAGACACATACACATTCATATATTGTATATATATTCCAAAATATTATGAAATTATGTAAAATAAACTGGTGTCATCAGGTGCCTCCAGAAAGGGGAACTGGTAGCTGGGGAACAAAAAAAGAAGGAAAGCCGAGACTGGTTTGGCTCAATGGATAGAGCATCGGCTTGGGGACTGAAGGGTCCTGGGTTCCATTCTGGTCAAGGGCATATACTTTGGTTGCGGGCATATCCCTAGTAGGGGGTGTGCAAGAGGCAGCTGATCAATGACTCTCTCTCATCGATGTTTCTAACTCTGTATCTCTTTCCTTTCCTCTCTGTACAAAATCAATGAAATATATTTTTTTTAAAAAGAAGGAAAATATTTTTTCCCTATATAACTTTAACTTTTGAATTTTAAACCATGTGAATATATCCTCTGCTGTTGTTTGTAAAAAAAAATATGTAAAAAAAATGTGCATTTTTAAATGAACAATAACTAGTTTGCAAAAAGCTCACAATTCCATTTGAAATAAAATAAATTTCATAAATCAGACGGTGCACGAAATTCATGCATGGGTGGTTGGGGGGTCCCCTCAGCCCAGCCTGCACCCTCTCCAATCTGGGATTCCTCAGGGGATAACTGACTGCCAGTTTAGGCCCAATCCCAGGGATCTGCTGCTGAGAGGCAGTCAGACATCCCTCTCAAAATCCGGGACTGCTAACTCCTAACTTCTCACTTGCCTGCCAACCTGATCACCCATAATTGCCTCTGCCTACTAACCAGATCACCCTTAACTGTCCCTCTGTTGGCTTGGTCATCCCTAACTGCCCCCTGCCAACCTGATTGCCCCTTACTGTCCCCCCTCTGCTGGCCTGGTTGCCCCCAACTTCCTCACTCTGCCAGCCTGGTCACTCCCTACTGCATCCCTAGTCACCCCAACTTCCCCCCTGACAGCTTGGTTTCTCTCATTTGCACCCCCCTCCCCACCAGCCTGGTCACCCATGCAGTCTGCTATTTGGTTATTACTGTTACTATGACTGCATCTCGGACAATTTGCATATTCCTCTATTATTAGTATAGATGCATTTCCAAAGATGAAAGGATAAAATAACAGTATTATAATTTTCCCTACCTGCATATTCACATTTCTAAAATGTACTCACAATTTCATGCACTAATAAGAAAGTGACTACTTTTAGAGTAATCAAAAATTCCTTGCAGAATCCTTTGCCATCATGCTAGCAGTGGCTTCACACATGTTCTCTTCCAACCAAATATGTTCCTTATTTCGTTATGCTAGGGGACTGAGCCTCCCAGTTAGAGTGCTCACTATTAAAGAGTGTGACTAAGCCCAACATGACAAATCTTCACTTCTGCAGGGATATAGAATTTTAACCCACTTGGAAGACTAAAGGACAAAGACTATCTTCGTAATTACTTAATGTAACTTATGAAGACACTTAGCAGTGGCAATTACATTGTTAACCACAGTACTCTATAATAATAAAAGGTAATATTCTAATTAGACCAGACATCATTCTAGATGTCATTCCAAAGGTCCTTCCAGATGAAGCCAGGACCAGAGGGAAGCCCAGGTCCCAGGTGCTTGTGGGCAGCCGGAGGGAAGCAAGCTGGGGTCCTAGGTGCCAGAAGGAAGCTGGTGCCAGCAGCCAGGGGAAGGAAGGTCTACTGTTTCATGAATTTTGTGCATCAAGCCTCTAGCGAAATTATAAAAATGAAAACTGAATATGTTACTAGTTTATGTTATGCTTGGTTTTTGAAGGTACTATTGGTTTGGAATACACTATGTGCTCCAAGTGCTTGTCTACATTTAGAAAACTGACATATAACCATCCACCAGTCATTTGTTGCCATTTTGTACCCATTTGTTATGCAAGGCACTGTCTATACAAGAACAAATCAGACAGGATCTTGGCCCTTGTGAAACTTGTCTTTGAGTCAGAGAGGAAGGGAAGCAAGTCTGCAAAGCACTAAGGCGGGGGGAGGGGGGGGGACCCACTTTCTTTGATCTTCTCTTCTGCTTTCTATTTAGTGGTTTAAAAGACATTTAGTAATGCTTAACTTCTATTTGAAATGTAGGATTGGTTAGAAGAATCAAAATATATTATTTTCCCTTGCTTGAACTTATAAAATTTCTCTTATAATGTTTCAAAGTTGAAACAAAACTCTAAGAGAGTTCATGAGGTCTCACCTCTAAAATGCCTGGCTTTTTTAAATGTAAGTTTTGCTGACATTAAGTATGAATATCAGAAAAATACATTTCTAAAGAGGTAAAAAAGAAAGGTGTAAATACATATTTAAGAATTAACTGAAAAAGTGTTATAGGGAATTCTGTTTTAAACAGCTTCAAGACAGAAGCATTTGGGGGGAAATTCTCTCATATTTGAAAAAAAAATGTATAAATAGATTTTCCAATCTTAAAGGGAATCCTTTAAAAGAAAAATGTTCCATGTTTTTGAAATACTTGAAATCAAGACTAGACCAGCTTAATTAAAAAATGTGAATAAATTTGACATTTAAAAAAAACTGTCCTAAAAGAACAATTGGTGTCCAACAATCCATGTCAATTGCAGTTATGGCCTGATTTTTGAATTCAGAGTATTAATTTACTGTAAACATCACCATATCCCAGAGATAAGACTTACATCCAAACGCCTATATAAATCTGGAATATCAGCAAATAGGAGGAATAGACACACAGCCAGCTGTACAATCAGCACAAGGACAAATATATCTGAGAAAATAAAAACACAAGCTATCATTTAGAGAAATCAGAATATAGAGTGTCACATCTATTGAAAGACATATTCTAGATTAATGCTGATTAAATTTACTTGATTTCCACATCCAAACACAGCATAATAAATGGAAAGTACTCATTTCTATGCAACGTATCTCACCTCTAAAATGCCTATGCATGTCCTTGAGGCAAGTGGAAATAGATAGAGGGTAACATTGAGAAAGCACACTTAGATTATTACAAGAAGTTATTTTTATTATTACAAAACAAATGCCGTGAAGGCATTCAAGTATCTGAGTGTCTTTAATGCAAATCACCCACCTCAAATCTTCTTCTGGGGGAAAAGGACGGCTGTAAATAAACATGTTTAAATTGCAGTCATGTAGAGGTCACTATTCTATTGCTTTGTTGTCCCAAGAAGGGCAACATAATTTTCTCTGAACAAACTTTTATGAGGATATTGACATTTCAACTTGTGCTTCTAAATTTTTCTTGATTAGAGGGGGGCAGTGATGGTGTCCAAATAAATATCCAGAAAGCAGGTCACATATTTCTAACATACACACTGCTCCCAGCCCAGAATGGAAGGAAGTAGGAGATGCTATGTCCAAGAGCCTCCACAACTGTCTGTATTCAGGTTCCTCCAGGCTGAACCCACTCCCAGATTGCCAACCACACAGTGCCAACCTGCCCATTGTCTTCATGGCAGAAGACATGTTCCAACTGAGCTCTGTGGTCCCCCCATCTCCTCCAGGATGAATTCTGACAAGCATAGAAATAAATGAGTCTTTCCAACTTGGAGTGATTCCATGAAAAGACACCTAAAAACAAACTTCTGGGGAAGGTAAGAGGTGGATAAAGAAGCCTTAGCATTTCATGCAGCTTTGAGGGAGGGAACAAAAGACCACAAAATAAGGCTGCACTATGTGTTTTACAGCAACCTAGAGTGGAAATCTGGATTCCCTGAATAAGTGTCAACCCTGTAGCACCTCCCTGAATGACCCAAGCATGTGTGTCTTCCTCTCTGATGACCTCTCACCTCTGACCCTGTACGAGTCTACTCACAGTTTTTATAGGTCGGCTGCCTAAATGGTTTTCCTTTAGAGAAGATAAGAGCCACAATGATGCAGTTGATTGTTCCCAAGAACCATATAGTTGTATTCTCAAAACTTCTGAAGTCTTCATTACTTCCAGCATTTTCTGGAGCAGTTGGTGGCATGGTTATATTTGAAATGCTTTTATTGTGCACAGTGCAGGCACTAAAAAGGAAACCAAAGAAACCAATGAAGTAAGATGACAGATACCTATGGAGAATACATGAAAGACTCCGTGGCCTCAGTGTTTCTATAATTGTCAGCACTTTGAGAAAGAATATACTGAAAAATAAGGCGAAAAAACCAGCACAGATAAAGCTATATTTAGGATAGGTAGATAAATGATAGATTAGATAAATAAATCCAAGTTTATTTATTTTTAAAAAATGAGCACCAATCATGTATATTAATGCTATGTGGGAGAGAGAGCTGAGGAAGTCATGAATCTTTCCCCTGGTTGGTTAATATCTCTAAACATTTATAAGTAGAGTGACCACATAATTTATCATTCAACAGGAACAGATTTGAGTGTGGAAAAAAAAGATATTAATAATGTCACTGGCTATCAGGATTAAACTGGGGATATCCAAGCAACATATAATGCATGTCAGCCTTGATAGAAAAGATGGTCAGAGAGGATTATCTAAGATAGGCAAAGATAAGTGCCAATGAATGTTACTATCAAGTTTTATCACAGAGAAATGAAGGTCACTGAAAAAGTACACAAGGGACTAAAGGAAGCCAAATCCTTTGGCAGAATGAAGACTCAGTTGCCTCCTGCTGTATAGGCCAAGTGATGGTTGATAGAAATTAGAGAGTGGGAAGCTGGCATCAAGTCTGTGATCCTACCTGTGCATCTCCTTGTTGTACCAAGGCTGCCTCTGAACCAGAATGAAGCCCACAATCTGCATGGCCAGGCTGAGAAGAATGTTGAAAATCACAGAGAGCAGCAAAGGTGGCGAGATCAGCCGTCCCACAGGTCTGAAAGGCACTAGCTTGGGGTAGGCACCATTCAAATTCACTGTAAAATAAATTCAAGTTTTATATGTATGAGTGCAGGAAAATGTTATATTCTTATGTAGAAAAATGGTGTAACTTCTTGGGCCCACATATCTGAGAAAATTGACAAATCAAAGTACATCACTAACTGAATGAGCAACACAATAGTAGATTCAAACTGAAGTCATATGAGAAATAAGACAGCAGACATAGAACAACCACAAGATGCCCTTTCTGTGACTATTAAATGGACAAAGACTATTACATTATAGGTGAGGGTGTATTAAAATGCACACTTTTCTTACACTGACGGTAGGAATATAAATTGATAAGAACCTTCTGAAGGGCACTTTGGCAATGAATATGAAGAGATTGAAAAAATGTCATAACTTTTCATATAGTTATTCCACTTCTGGAATTTTATTCTATCCTAAAAATATATCAGAGATATAGAAAGGTTAATCACAGCATCATTTACAATAAATTGTGGCACATCTATATAATGGAACAACATGCAGTCACTAAGATGTAATGCTTTCAAATACTTAAGAAATTAAACTACGAGGACATCAACAAAATAGCAGAGTAAGCAGCTCCAAGATCCCATCCTTCGTAGAAACATTGAAAACAAGCAGAAACTGTAATAACCAACTTTGTCAGAACTCTGAAAAATAGACAAAGGTTTACAGCATCCAAACAAATCCTAATCAAGAGAAAGTCAACTTGCAAGTATTAGGAAAGCTCTGTGCATTTTTACCTGCCATTGCTCCCTTCCCCCCAATTCAGTTACAAATCTGAAGATGGTAGCACACATATCAGCTGGGAGAACCTGGTCCCTTATTACAAAGAGGGAAGAGCAGACTTTACTCACAGATTATCCTGCATGTCTGTTCTAACTTGTCTGGGGACTCCCGAAACCCTGGTGCAAGGGGCTCATCTCTGTTTCACCTAATTCAAAACTTAACTTGGGATGGAAAAGCAGCATGCACTGCTCCAAAGCATTGTAAGTTAACAAACTACCTGCAGTCACTGAGGCAAAATATGACACATAAAGCCTGGAAAGAAAAGCTGAAGTTTCTTTGGGAGATTGTGGTATTCACAATCTCCTGTGTGTACTGGGGGAATATGGAAAGCCACACACATGATCAGGACAAGATTCATGCCCAGAAATGACCAGAAAATCTCTATGCTTTCAGTTCTGGATGATCTCTAAACTCAACACAAGCTTGGCTAAGTGTTGAAGTGCCCAGCACAGAACCAATCTGCAAATATGGGAAGAGGTATTTCTTTGTTCATATTTTTTAAACTCATTGATTTCAAGGAAATCTCTGTCAAAACACTACCTGAGCCTGGCTGGCATGGATCAGTTGTTGAGCATTGACCTAGGAACCAGAAGGTCAGGGGTTCGCTTCCAGGTTGTGGGCTCAATCCCCATATGGGGCATGCAAGAGGCGACCAATCAATGATCAATGATTCTCTCTCATCATTGATGTTTCTGTCTCTCCCTCTCTGAAATACACACACACTAGAGGTCCGGTACACAAGTTTGTGCATGGGTGGGGTGCCATTGGGGGTGGGGCCAGCTGGAGAGAGAGGCTGTAGAAGGGTTCCAGGCATGTCTGGCCCATCTTGCTCAGTCCCAATTGGCTGGACCCCCGCAGCAAGCTAACCTACCAGTTGGAGCATCTACCCCATAGTGGTCAGTGCACATCATAGTGAGTAGTTGAGCAGCCTTAGCATATCATTAGCAAATTACACTTTGATTGGTTAAAAGGATGACTGGATGACCAGACACTTAGCATATTAGGCTTTTATTATATAGGGTTTTTATTATATAGGCTTTTATTATATAGAAAAACCCTGGAGACGCTTGCTGTCATAGAAGAAATGAGTATTGATTTCAAATATCTGAAAGACTGTCCTGGGGAAATTTCAGACTATGCTGTGCCTCCCCAAATGGCAGAACTGTGATGGGAAAACTTACACAGAGATAGATTTTGGCCTGATGTGAAGAGAACTCTGTTAACAATAAGGATTGTCCAAGGGTGTTATTTCTTTTTTTTTAAATATATTTTATTGATTTTTTTACAGAGAGGAAGAGAGAGGGATAGAGAGTTAGAAACATCGATGAAAGAGAATCATCGACCAGCTGCCTCTTGCACACCCCCCACTGAGGATGCGCCCTCAACCAAGGTACATGCCCTTGACCAAAATTGAACCGGGAACCTTTCAGTCCGCAGGCTGACGCTCTATCCGCTGAGCCAAACCGGTTTCGGCCAAGGGTGTTCTTTCAATAGATTCAGCAAGTATTTAATGAACTCCTCTGCTAAGTCAGGCTCTGTTAGAGGTACTGGGAAGACAGCCATGATCAAGATAGACAAGGTGCTACTCTCATGAAGTGCACATTCTAGGTGAGGGAAGGCAGAAAAAACAAAACAGATAAATATCATACTTTCAGATTGTGACAAGTACTGTGAAAAAATAAAACAGAATTGTGTGCTACAGAATAACTGGCTTGGTCATTGTTTAAAGTGACCTTTATGATGTGGTGACATTTGAGCTAAAATCTGAGTAATAAAGGAAAGTCAGTCACATGAGACTCTAAAGAGAAAGTAGTTTGGGCAAAGGAAATAGCAAAATCAAAGGTGCTTAGATGATCACAACTTGGCAATGCTCAAGAGACAGAAAGACTTGTGCACATGGAACAGGACACAAGTAGCAATGTGGTTAGACATGAAGTCAGAGAAGTAAGCAAAAATAAATTCTGTAAGACTTTGGACTTAGTGGAAGCCACTTGAGAATTTTAAGCAAGAATAAGACAACAATATTTATATTAAAAAAAAAAAACTAGCCCTCTTATCACTGTTTGAAAGGTAAATGGAAATGAGGGGAGGGCAGTAAGAGTATAAGCAAGACAGTTGTATAGTTTTTGCAGTGATCGACAGAAGTGGTAATGATTTGTGACAGTGGCTATAATAGAGATGGAGAGAAGGGATACAGAATATTTTTTGGAGGTAGAGCCAATAGGAATTTCATATGTATTATATGTGAAGGATAAAAAGAAAGAAAGAAATTAAAAATTATTCCAGGTTTTTGAATAACTAGGTAGATTAATGATGCTATTTTAAGGAATTTTATTTGTATGTGTTTTTTCACTGACATATTCCAAGTGCCAATATCAATTAATGTTGACCAAGAATGGCAAAGCAAACAAAATCTTTATTTGAGGCCTTAGAAAAATGAAATTTATGGCACACAGATTTGGGTAGAAACCTGATTGTGTGCCAAGGAAAAGACAGAAAAAATACGGGGTTTCCAAAGGACTTATACAAGCTGTTTTGAAAGAGTTGTGATGGGTGCTGGCAGGCAGACTTATGCTATGCTATACATGATTAATTGTTATGCCTTAATAGAGAGTTCAGTGGTGCAGAGCCAATTCAGGATGTAGCCGTTTGTAGTTTAGCTCAATTCAAAAGTTCACTTTTCACATGGAGGGAGGTGAGTTAGCTTCGCTTCCTAGAAGTCTCCCCATTCCATTTTGCATTGCTCTCTTGACAATACTAACTCCATTTTACTGCTTTTTTCCCATACCTATTTCAGTAAGTAGTACAAACTATACAGTAAATATTTAATGGTTTTGTCAGCTATAATATCTGATAGAATAAAGAGTTCTATTCGGGCATGTTAGGCCTACATTCTGTTAAATATCCAACATTAGGTGCTGAGTAGCCACATTTCCAGAGCTCAGGACAGACATCAAGGCCAGGGATGTAAATTTGGGATACATCAGCATACATAGTCATAGAACTGGTTGAATTCACATTGGCAGACAGTATAAACTGAAAAGACAAAAGAGCCCAATAACATTGGAATGAAGACTTGTAACATTTCCAAAGTTAGAAGACAGGTAATGAAGCAGAGTTCAGCAAAAGAGATGGGAAAACTGTCTTCACCAAAGTGATAGATAGTCCAGGAGGGTGTGGTATCACAGACCCAAGAGAAGAATCCTTCTGCTGGAAGAGTGTGCTGTTGAGAGATTCAAGCACAATCAGGAAAGAGAAGTGGCCATTGCTGTCAACAGAAGTCACTGGTGGACTTGACAAGAGCAGCGTCAGTAAGGTTGCTGCTGAAGCATAGATGGTAGTTGCTCCTCTTGAGCATGTTTTCCAAAAACAGTCTTTGAACAAGTTTTTAAAATAAGTTGGCATGATGGTTTTTAAGATTGTGATGAGAAGATATGAAAAGAAATAATGTGAAAGCAAGAACCTGAGGATGTAAAGAGGCAATGGGAGACTTGTTCTTTTTCATGTGTCAGTAGAGAGCATCCTCCCAGCCAGAAGTGGCTGGAGCTGGCTCACACTGGCCAATTTTTGCTAAATTTGCAAGCCAATTCTTAAATGCAGCCATTATAACAAATAAAGGATGTAAACTTACAATTAAATAAATATATTAAAAACAAAGATAATAAACACTCAAAACTGGTAACTTTTATTTTACATTTTTAGAATTATCTATGTTCTTGAAGTTAATAATGGAGATTACACTTAAAACTGTGTCATATTTTACATTATGAACAATTTTTCTTCTTTTTTTAATCAAGGAAATATTCTTCCAGCATTCAAAAACCATTATCTAATTCAGAAATAAGTTGTTTACATCACTGATGGATGGCTAAAGTTTCAACATAAGTTTTTGTTGTTTTGTCATTCAGGGAAAGAAAAATGTCAAGAAAGTTTTATGGGAAAGCCAATTTAGTCATCAATAGCATAGGTTGACTATAGATACAAGAATTTGGTAAAACTCAGTGAAAGCATTTTGTGAGAATTAATTGACAGAATGGAATTTACAATAAAGACAGTGCATATTTCATTATTATTTGAAAATTGTTCACCACACATTTTTCTTTTCAGTAAAGTTTATGATAAATTTATGTGCATATATGTAAACTCTTTTTTTTTTTTTTTTTTTTTTTTTTTTTTTTTTTTGGAAAGCCAGTTGTTAAACATTTGCCAACCTAACACCAGGATAAACCAAGCATCCAAATTCATGCCCTTAAGGGTGAGAATCTGGCTGATAAAAATGACAGAATTAGAGATGGCAAGTGGAGAAAGTTGGCCTATACAACTAATTGGGAAGTTTGACAAAAAGAGGGACAGCAGGTAATGGTGGATTCTGGTCAAGAACGAGCTTTTATTTATTTTTTTAAATATTTATTATTGATTTCAGAGAGAAGAAGGGAGAAGTAGAGAGATAGAAACATCAATGATGAGAGAGAATCATTGATTGCTGCCTCCTACAAGCTCCCTACTGGAATTGAGCCCAAAACCCGGGCATGTGCCCTGACCAAGAATTAAACCATGACCTCCTGCTTCTTGGGGCCATGCTCAAACACTGAGCCACGCCTTCAGGGCAAGGAAGAACTTTTAAAGAAAGAAGGTATGGAACTGTATTTATATACTGATGGTAATGTTAAGCACATTTCACCTATAACCATACCTAAAAGCACACCAAAGTTGACATTCCTGATTTTCCAGGTGGGTTTTATTTATTTATTTATTTATTTTATATATTTAGTGACCTTTTATGGAGGCTCCATCTTTTGTGAAAAACAGCAAAATGACTAGCCAGCTTTTCCTTTGCTAGCACTTTCTGCGCTCAAAAATTAGGATTGCTTCCTCTTTCCCCCTCATTATACACCTCTGGGAATAAGTCAAACATCACATCTGCCTCAGCTGCTGCCCTCCCTCCTGGTGGGCCTTCTGGGGAGCACCTCTGGGAAAAAAGTTTTAAAAACGTCTTACTTGTTACACCAATAAGAGTTGTAATGGCCAAATCCTGGAACAGAAACTGGTAATTTGATAGGCTGTTCGTCTCCTAAAAATAAAAAGGAAAAAAGCTCAAAAAGAGTTGTGACCTTCTGGATGAAGTTTGACATCAATTTCCTTTACTTTCTCATGGCTATTGAGGATTGTCAAGTAAATTACCTTGAAGATGGTGTGGTCAGAGGCCTGTTTATATTGGTGGGAGTGCCAAAGGCAAGGCTGTGAAACCCTTTCTAACCAGGAGGCCCCTGTCATGTGCATTTTGGGATGGGTCCTTTGTGCATCACTAACTCCCCTTGCTGAGGGGAATAGCTCACTCTCCCAGATTCATCTCTGCTCTCTTCTCTACTTGTTAGCGAAAAAGGTGGGGTTTCATCTGACACTGAAAAAGTGCATTCTCAATCGTAACAAGTGACAAATGTGTGGTGATCTTACCTAAATGTTACTGAGGAAAAATGACAATAACTGAACCAACTATTTGCTTTCTTGGGTGTTGATAGAAAGTCCCTGATAAAGTCACCTTGATGTTCTTTTCTTTTTTTTTAAATATATTTTATTGATTTTGTACAGAGAGGAAGGGAGAGAAATACAGTTAGAAACATCTAAGAGAGAGTGTCATCGATCAGCTGCCTCTTGCACACCCCTTACTGGGGATATGCCCGCAACCAAGGTACATGCCCTTGACAGGAATCGAACCCGGGACCTTTCAGTCCCCAAGCCGAAACTCTATCAATTAAGCCAAACCGGTTTCGGCCACCTTGATGTTCTTGAGGGGGGAAAAAAACATTTAGGCCTTACATATTTTAAGTATCGATAACTTATCCCTTGGTGGAAAGGCGATAATGATGACCTATGTTTAACTCTAGTTTTGAGCAAGTGATTGTGATTTCAACATAGGAACAAATTTCTACAAATAGCTCCTCCAGTTCATTTATTAGTGAGTGGGAAAATTCATAGGTAATCTGAAGATAACAGAGCTAAATCTTTCAAACCAGGAGCGAGAGGGCAAGACATAGAGATAAATCTAGGTATTTCCAGCACAAATAAAGTTCCCTTTGGCTGTGTTAGCTACTATGAGAAGCCCCCACATGTTGAGTCCACAAGCAGTAGTCATGGATAGTCTTCTTTTATGTTTGGTTAAATAATAAAAGACCTATGGTTTGTGTGTGTGTGTGTGTGTGTGTGTGTGTGTGTGTGTGTTTGTGTGTGTGTGTTACAACATGTCAATTTTTAAATCCCTATGTGCAGAGAACCTTAATATACTGGCATGTACTAGCTCATAAGAGTTTATTGCTAGGTTTTCAGAAACTTTGTGATCTGGTTGTTAAACACAGCCTACATAATATCTTAAATAATACAAATTTACTATTAAATAAATTATGAAAACAGAGGCAATAAATACTCAAAACTCACCACTTCCCAATCATTTTCTTATACTTTCTTATCTATGTCCTTGAGATTATTTATAATTCTTATATTTATATGGTGCAAGAACTACATAAAGTATGCTATTGTACATTTCTCTCCAACTCCATGGTCAGCTAGATCACTTGACTCCAGCCATGTGGGAGTATTTATACACTGAAATTGGCAACATTAATAAGCAGGGCTTGCCCTAACCAGTTTGGCTCAGTGGATAGAGCGTCGGCCTGCAGACTGAAAGATCCCAGGTTCGATTCTGGTCAAGGCCATGTACATGGGCTGTGGGCACTTCCCCAGTAGGAGGTATGCAGGAGGCAGCTGGTTGATGTTTCTCTTTCATCGATGTTTCTAACTCTCTAACTCTCTCCCTCTCTGTAAAATATCAATAAAATATATATTTTTTAAATAAATAAGCAGGGCTTATTTTTCCAGAGAGAGCCAGTTTTGAAACAATCCAGCCCCTAATCAGAGAATCATCTTTTTAATGAGTGGTATGCAAGAGGATAGTCACATTGGACTGGAAAAATAGAAACCTGGGCTAAGCAGGCTAGAGCAACAGCAACAGAGAAAGTGATTTGTTCCATTCTGATCCTCAACCAGTACTAGATAATTCTCTCTCAGAGAAATCACACCAACAACTTCTCCTGTGTGCATGTATCTATTTCTGATTTATTTTTAAAACGTGAATGATTGTTTTTAGAGGGGTTGTTAGTGTTCCAATCTCCTGTTTGCACTTTAAGAGGCGTTGCATGTTGAGAGTGCACAGCCCCTTGTCCCAGTTCTCACTAACAAGAGGCCAGGTCCCAAGTCATACCCAGTAGAGCAGCAGAACACCAACATACTGAATCATGCTGTACAGAGCCATGTACTTAAACATGCAAAATGAGGTAACGAGGGCGGCACGTCCTTCCCTGTGTGAGAAAAGAAATGAGAAAGTAATGAAAGTGATGGAATGAAATGAGGTCAGTTATTCTGTGCTTTTCAGCTGAGCTCAGGAGAAAAGATCAAAAGTCCGATGAGCTCCATTGTGTGCCTGACAGACTGGACAGCCTCGAGCTAGTGGGAGCGGCTGTCCAAGAGCTAAATGACTACACTTTCAGGAAAGGCCATTTCCACTGCAAGGTCCACGGGCCTCGAGCCAACCAGGGAGCCAAAGTTAGAGCTACTCATCCTTTCTCCAGACATTATTTTAGCTGAGAGTCTGGGGTCATGGGCTGGTCCCAGATCTCATACCTACTCACTAATGTGACTTGCAAGGTCATTTCCCTTCTCCAAGTCACAGTTTCTTCATTTGTGAACCAAGGGCTATAAGTGACATTGGAGGTTTGGGGGCTATTTTCATGCAGGTGCTTCAGGAGTTTGGCCAAACATTTCATTCAAATTTCATTTGTGAGTCCCAACCTCTTCTAAAACTGGACTGAAATAATACACACATTCAAATCAGTCATGTTTCACATTTAAATAGACTACAAACAATGAGTCTGTTGATTTTTGTTACTATTGTTCTTCTTTGGGCAAGGGGTATATATTTAAAGCATGAAATAAATTACTTGTAAAATGCCACTTTTATTTCTTTCATTTGGGAAAAAAATAGAGTGTAAATTTACTTCTGGTTGAAATGGTTTCCTGGGATTCCAAAGCCTGACCCTCACCCCCAGCTTTTTCCTGTGCCAGGGCTTTACTGCTGAATTCGCTCTGCCTAGAAGGCAGTTTCTCCCATCCCTTACCTCCTTAGACACGTTTCTCCCACACCACCTCATCTGGCACAGCCAATTCCGCCTCCCCGGTCATCTTCCCACCTTTCACACTGGCCCTGATTTATCTGTGCGTGTGTTTATTGCCTGACTTCCTCACTGGAGGAAAACGTCATGAGGTGGAGGGACATCTGATTTACTCGCTTCTGCCTCCAACTGTTCCCAGCACTAAGCGTCTACATTATAAATGTTTGTTGAACAGATGAATAAATAAATAAATAAAAACTGGAAGGAGCTAGCCAAACCATCATTTTAATGTGCGGAAAGGAGTATGGCATGTGTAGATAAAACACATTTAGACAAAATTCATTCTAATACCATCTCCAATCTTATATGGCTGTGTCAGCTTGGGTAGTTCTCTGAGCTCAATTTCTTTCTTTCCTTTTTTTTAAATTTTCACTTTAAAATTTTTTTTTATTGTTGCCACTATTACACATGTCCTCATGTTTCCCCTCCCCCTTTGCCTGCCTCAACCCAGCCCCCTCCCATAGCCTCAATTTCTTTATTTACAGAAGAAATGGTGGCCATTCTTACATCTTCTGGCTTTTTATACATTACCAGTATAAGAAAGCAGGCCTGTGAGCACTTTATAAACACATCCTATATAATAAAATCCCAGCGACCATAACAACCATAACAACCAGAAACCAGAATCACCACGGCCCCTAACCGGGCTGGCCCCGTCCCCCAGCGAGCAGTTAGGGGTGATCAGGTAGGCAGGCGAGTGGGTAGGGGCAATGAGGCAGGCAGGCAGACCCCGGGGACTGATGCCTCAAAGAGGGAGACCCAGGCTACAGCTTGTGGGAGGGAAGCTGGGAGGCTGAGGAGGGAGGTGCTGGCGGCGTGGACGCTGCAGGGCAGGGCTGGCGCCAAGGCGGCTCCTGAGGGGGCATGGCACCTGCAGCCTGGCCCTGGCCCCAGGTGGCAGCCGATCCCTGCAGCTTCTACAGGGCTGGACTGCCACTCCTCCTGCTATGATGCCTGGGCAGATCCCAGACTCTTCTGTGACTGTGGGCTCTCTGCCAGGGCTCACCCCCTGACCGGACTCCCCAACTTAGCCCTGACTACAGAGGAGCTGGAATATGCTGACATCCACAGCATTGGGGTATGATCACCCCTTTGCACTTCCGGGATGTGAACCGGGCAAGAGGCCTCAACCTGTGAACAGTGAGCTAGACAAGACAAGGAGAGGAGGAAAAGGCGCTGGGGAAAGAACAAAGTGGCAGCAGCCCCATGCCAGAACAAGAAGAAGGAGCGGACGATGAAGTGTCTGCAGCGGGAATCTGAGTGGCTGGAGCTCATGAATGCGGAGCTGAAAACCCAGATGGAGGAGCTGAAGGAGAGGCAGCAGCTCATTCTGATGCTCAACAGGCATCCCACCACTTGCATGCTCAGGACCGACAGCGTTAAGACCCCCGACTCAGAAGGCAACCCACTGCTGGAGCAGCTGGAGAAGTGACCATGGGCTGGGGGGAGGAAGAGGAGAAGGAGGAGGGTCCCAGAGAGCTCTTTCTTGCTGCATGAAAAACTTCCATGAGGCTCAGCACAGTCAGCATCGGCCAGGCTTTTTTGTGAAACTCAGATGAGCCATGCCAGGGGAAGAAACCCAGCACCAAGCACTGACACCAAAGTAGAACTGAGGAGGGGCTGTTTTGCCTGGGTCCAGGCTTGCAGGAGGCAGGACAGAGGCTCTGGGCCAGAGAGATGCCCAACCAGGCAGCTGTGGGCACTTCTCCGGGTCCCCACCCAAAGGACCTCCGAGCAGCCAGGAAAAGCCATGAGTTGCAACCAAAATTAGGATGAGTATGGAACTCAGAGTGAAACTGCAATCTGCCTGCCCCCAGCCCTGGCCCTGATCCTGACCCTTATCCTGATGCAAGGCTGGAGAAGGGCACAGTGCCAGGCCCTGCTGTACCCACCCTCATGGTCCAACTCAGTTCTGCCCAAGACTGGCAGCCGGGCACACCCTCACTGCCCTGTTGAAGTTGCTGTGGGCACGAGGCATGAGAGCCCTTCCAAAGCACATAAATGTTTAAAGCTGAATGTTTGCAGACTGGCTGTCCTGGCTGGGCTTTTAACTGCCAGGACAGCCAGTCTTTTTATATTTTCTTTTTTTTTTAATATTTTTTACAAAAAAAGGATTTTATACGAGCAATGTATAAATGGATTTCTGTAATCACTTGATGTAATGCAGTATAAATGCTATGGTTTGTTTGTTACAAACAGATATTCAGCAGTTATGGCTGTTGTGTGTAACTTCTAAGTACTGTAGTCTTTGGGTGTTGAGGTAGCAGGGGCAGGGGGGCGGTGCATTTCCATCCTGGTAAACCCTTCATACTACTCAGTTCTGTATCACTCAGTAAGCATTACTCTTACTTAAAATTAAAAAAAAGAAAGAAAGAGGGAGGCCCATGCCACTGGCCAGTGACACTATGGCAGGTTTGCTGCTGGCCAGCAGAGGGAGGCCCAGGCCAGCCAACTCATTGAAACCCACACCTGTAGCCTGCAGTGGCAGGGGAGGGGAGCAGGCAGTGCTGCACAGATGTCAAGTAGTGGCTGCAGTGGGGCAAGGCCAGCTGCCTGCAGCCTGGGGAAGGAAAAAGGAAAGCCCCAATAGGCCCTGATCTCAGACCAGGCCTAAGGACCCTACCCGAGGGGTCCCGGATTGTGAGAGGGTGCAGGCTGGGCTGAGGGACTCCCCTCCCCCGTGTGCATGACTTTTTTTGCACTGGGCCTCTAGTACTAGTTATAATAACCCAAAGCAGCCACAGTGCTAACGACCTCTGTCATTTAAATAATGTGCCAGAAGTACATATTCAAGGAAATGGTAGAGATAAAGCACCAAGAGAAATTTTAGTAGAAGGAGCAAAAATAAATATTTTGATAACTAAAGATGGAAAGGATATCCCAAGGCAGCATAAAGAGGCAAGAGGAAGGAAGGAAAATGGGCAGAGAAAGTTTCTCTCAATTCCTCATTATCAAGCACCGAAGGATATACATTTAAATAATAATATGATCAAAACTGTCAAAGCAGTAACAAGTTCCTGATTCCAACTTTCTAGAAATAACCTATTCAGTGGTTTTTATTAGAAATGCCACTGCTCTCCCAGGATTATTTTAGATCCGGGGAAGTCCACTTGGAAGTAGAATGTTTGACCACATTTTCCTGCAAAGCACCTCCCCACCCCATAAAGATGCAAAGTTTATCTGGTGTTTGACTTGCAGAACAATGGAATCTGGTAAGACAGATACCATATAATTTCACTGGTATCTGGAATCTAAAGAACAATATAAGTGAACAAACAAAACTGAAACAGACTCACAGATACAAAGAATAGACTGATGGTTGCCAAGAAGGGGTGGGGGCAGGGTAGGGACTGGGTGAAAAAGGTAAAGGGACTAAGAAGTATAGATTGGTAGTTATAGAATAGTCATGGGGATGTGGAGCAAAGGGAATATAGTTGGTAATATGGTGCCAGTTGGGAGCCGGAAACATCAGAGGAAACACTTCATAAAGTGATTGTCTAACCACTATGCTGCACACCTGAAACTAATACAAAATAATATTGAAAGTCAACTGTAATTGAAAAAAATTAAATCAATAAATGACAAAATAAAATAAAAAGAACAGTGGAATCTGTACTGAGAAGTCAGGAGAGATGAAAACAATGCTGGTGAATAGTGCTTACTTACTTGATAAGTTGAGGTACACACTCAATATTTGGAGTTTTGGACGTGAAAGGTGAGGCCACAGATGCCTCCTGCTCTGATAAAGAGATGCCCACGTGAGCCATTTTCAAAGCCTGAAAGCAGAGAGTTAGCTTAGGGTCACATACATTTCTCCTGAGAAAGGGGCCAGGGAAGGTGTCCACAGGTGGCTTGTGGGCCCAAATACTAGCTAGGAGATGACAGCAGACTTTGTTCTCTTGCCACATCAGAAAGAGATGGTACTGGGGCACCCAGTAAAATAAGTGGGGACTTCAGGACCAAATTCTACCCCATTTAATCTATAATGACCCCTGAGTTATTATGTAGCTTTGGTTAAAACTCTCCCAAATGCTCAGCATCAGTTTCTTCAACAAGAGGAGTGCAGAGAGTGTATATCCCACAAGATACTATCTCTGCAGGGCTCTGGGCAAGTACAATCCAGTCTTAAATTGTGGTTCCACACACTGGCAACTACTTACCCCACAGTCATTGGCTCCATCGCCGCACATACCTACAAAGTAACTAAAGGCGAACCATGTCAATTGCGGAATATATCAAAGCAATCTTAAACGATAATTTCTCTAATTAAAAAGATAAAATGAGCTTCATTGCTTAGTGTTTAAACTTATTATTTTAATGAAGTTTCCTAATAGACTGGTTTGACTAAAAAGTAAAATCTGACTCAGCAGTTCCTACAATGGATAAGAAATCCAGGACATCGTTCCTAACTCCAAGCACTTTCAGAAGTGATGCACTTTACTGTTTAGGAAGTAGCTTTGTCAACTGCAGAACAGGATGCTCAGAATTCTATGTAAGACAGCATGGCATGGTGGAGAGGGTGCAGGGATTGAAGCCGCAAGATCTCCATCGTTGACCTGATCATTTTTCTGTTTAGACTAGCATTTTTTCCCCTGCACAGTGTTATGAGTATTCAGTGAGGTGCAATATGGGAGAGTGCCTTATAAATTCTGAAATAATAAATAAAATTTACTTGTTGGTGCTATTAATGGTTCACAAGGGGGAAAAATCTGCCATGTTAACAGTCATTCAACAAAAAAATGCAATGCCAGGCCCAGGACTTGAAGAAAATACACCCCTTCTTCAGGGTGGCGTTTTGAGGCTGAGTGAATAAGCCTCTGTTAAATTGTTGGCAACGGTTGTGGATAGTCTGCTTTTTAAGAAAACAGCATGCTGATTGCATTTAAAGAATTTGCTGTGCTTCTTTTCATACATTGCTCTATAAAGGCAACTAGCTTACTGTCTAGGTTTTCAACCATGTTGAGAAGACAGAGCTTTCTGAATGGAAATGCTTGCCTAGTGACTTAATCAAGTGAGTAGCAGGATGGAGCTGCAGTGAGTAGGGGTAGGAGTCGTATCTATGTGGTCTAGCACCAGAATAGAAGAAACCTTCAGGACTCTATGGGTTTCATTTACCAAAACATAGATAGATAGATAGATAGATAGATAGATAGATAGATAGATAGATAGATAGATAGATGATAGATAGTCCCAAATGATGGGCACTTTATTTGACTGCCCATTCTATCAATGGAGACCTTTTGTGTTAGAAGATAAATTATTTTTCTGACTTAGGATGAAGAGGATGCTTTGGCATAGAATGTTTTTAATATTTTGAAGATTATGTGAATCTCTTGTCATGTAAATCTTCCTATACCATAACTATGATAATAAAAATGAAGTCTAAATTTCCCTGTCCCTTTCAGAGCTGAGCTCACATTGCCTTTCTAGGCTTGTTTCTCACCTTACCTTTTTCATGACACTTATGCTCTAGTCAGTGCTCCTCATGTCTGGATGATGCAAAATTGATTTATGTGAGGAGTTTTAAAAAACACTGATGTCCAAGCACCATGTGAGCAAATGAATTAGAATTGCTCTTTTTTCAAAGCTCACATGGTGACTAACATGTGCAGCCAGGTTAGGAACCATTTTTCTAGCCAAACAGAGTGACTTCCTGTGCCTCTTAATCTTCCCCTGACTGCCATGCCCCTTGCACTTCATACTGAATAGGAAAAGAACCTACTCAAGTTTCTGAAATTCTTCCACCAGACTAGATTTCTGCCCAGGAGACATTCTTGCAAAGATGGTCCCATTAATCAGTATCTGCAAGGAACCCAAAAGAGAAATAGTTTTTATGTCAGCTGATCATACATGAAATAATTAATAACACTCATAAAACTGACAGGGTAAAGAAAAAAAGAATTGTTTTCCAAGAAGTCTTTCTTTGATTTTACATCAGGCATTGGGACATAGGTCATCAGATAAGTGATCAGGAAAACCAAAATTAATAAAAATGACTACTTCATAAAAATATTTGGTGAACATGATGACCTATACTATTTTAGCTCAGCTGCCATAGAGAATGTGGTCCAGAAAAATCCTGATCTTATGGAAATTTAAGCCAATAGAACATGAGAAACTGCAAGGATCTCAGAAAAAGAAAATGAGGCATCTGTCTCTTAGAAATTTGTCCAGAATTAGCAGAGAAATAGCATACTGATAGAATAGTAAAGTAACTATCCATGGTCATTGACTTACCATACCATCTGATCAATTGTAAAATTCAGCTGATATCTCAAGCTAATTTGGACTATGGGATTGATGGTTTCGTAGTATAAGAACCTCTACCAGCCCCTCCACCTGAGCTCCATTCTATAGAATCTAAATTTTTCTGTGTTAGATCTGCCTGCCCCCTGCTCTCCCTGGCAGTAAACTCAGTTTAGTGTTTACAAATCCTCAAAGTCTTGATTCAATTTTTCTTAAACAGTGTCTAAGAAGGTGACAATTGAATAAAAATAAATCATCTGCCCCCATTATGGGTTTATTCTTCATCAAAAAAGTTGTTAAGTTTGACTTTTTTCTGTGTAGAGGTTCTCTATGAAAAATCTACTGAAATTCCTCTATTCAAGGCTGTCTTCTTATATAATTGCAGAATTTCCACTATACTGTGAGTCTCCTATCCATGGCAATAGAATGACAGCTACCCAAAAGCAATCCTGATGACTTAATAAGTCAATAGTTTAAGCCTATAAATTATTGATTTTCAATCTTTGTCACCTCATGGCACCCATCAATGATGAAATAGAAACATAAATTGGCTGCCTCCTGCACACCCCCTACTGGGGCTTGTGCCCAGGCCTGTGCCCTGATAAAATTGACTGGAGACCTCTTGGTGCATTGGACAATGCTTGAGCAACTGAGCCACACTAGCCAGGCAAGTTTATTTATTTTAAATCTAGTAGGATATGAGACAACAGTAACCTCTACAAAACTATTGCCTCTTTCATGAGACATTCAGTAGGTATATGTTACCTATTTGTTTGAAATTACTGAAGATCATGCTCTGTAAATTGTCAGCATCTTTACCAGGAAGTTAGTACCCTCTGAGATCTTACCTTTGGCAGTAGGCTGCTGAAATGTTGACTTATAACCTGAAAAGATTTTCCACTTAGGGCAAAATGGTAACTTTCTTCTCTGCTATTATCAAAGACTTCTTCCCTAATGTTAATGTAATTGTCCTGCAAAGCAAGACACAGTTATTTTAGACTTGGTAGAGTGGATAGGAACCACAGCATATCTGAGAGAAGACAACTATGGCAGTCCAGGGTCTCTCTGTAAATGTCTAACTCTGGTCCTGATTCCTCAGAGATGCACTTTCTCTTTGTTGGATCAATCTTTGCACATCACAGCCTCTGTAGTAAATAGGAGAATAACACTTACTCATGTCCCATTCTCATCCTGATTTGATCTCGGTGGGTCCCAAAGAAGAGCTCATTTCACACATTTCAAGTGTAAAATACAAAAGCACTGCAGCTTCACAAATCTCTCCCTGAAGTGAGAACTTACAATTTTTTTTTTCTTAAAGAATTAATATTGTTCCACAAGGACACAATAGAGATAGGATACTGACAAGATTGGAGATAAATGAATAAAACGTTCTTCCCTACCCTGAAGATACGGTCTGATTTTCCATTTCACACAGTGGTGACTCTCCTAGGGATTAAATACCCTTTGAACTCAGCAGGGTGGCTGGCAAGCAAGGCAAAAATGGGAAGTTGAATTCCAAGCCCCCTTACTACATTCTTTCTCATACAGAGACAAAAAGACTTAAACTTTTTTAAGTTTAAAAGAACAGATTATCTCCAGCACCCAGGAAAGCACAGCACTTAAAGCTCAGTTGGAAAGATATGGAAAACTGGCGTAATTGATCACTTCACACTGCCTAGTGTGAGACATTTGGAGAAGTATGTTGGCCCTAGGTCACCCGTATACCACTGCCAGTCAAAGCTGCTCAGTTGCCCACATTGTGAAGCAAGTTAGATAATATGTTTTCAGGTATACCTGATTCCCATATGCAATGGGTTTCTTCTCTTCTACTAATTTCCAAGATATGGATGCTGATGAGGACCCAGTACTTTCACTTGCTTCAATGAGAATGACTTTCTGGCCTTCGGAAACCATTCCAGAATTTCTGGCTACTGTTACTGCAGTCTGGAGATTGTCACCTAGAGGAAAGGAAGAACATCCTAACATGAGGTTGAAGAGAAAGGACAAATTCTTAGAGGGCTGGAAATCTAGAATAAAGAGTCAAGACTTGATTATAGGTGTGAAGAGAAATAACTTTTAAGGTCTCCCTCAGCCTGACGTTCCTTTATTTCATGGTTCCTTTTCTGGTTCTTGCTGCTTTTCATCTGGTTACTTTATATGTTTTTGTAATAGAGTGGGGCAAAAAAAAAAAAAAAACCAAAGGGCAAAATTCTAATTTATTTCTGTCATTTTTTTAACAGCTTGGTAAACATTTAGAAAGAGTATACTGGTTTTATATAGTATCTGATGGTCCCACTCTGAGAAAAGATGGAGAGTAATCCCACTATTTCTCTCACTGACAATGGAAAACTTTGAGAAAAAAAATTTAAAAAAGTAACTACCCAAGGACCTTGACAGTAAACATAAGGAATATGAAAGAGAGTCAAATTTGGGGAAACAATCTACCAGGTGCTAAGATTCTCAGCTTTTTTCTTTTTTCCTTTCACATATTTAACCCTAGAGCTGTGCAGGTAGCAAAAGCTCTGAGAAACTAGCCTTTATGGCCAGAAGAAGTAGGAAAAGGGATGCCTGGGGCTGGAGAGTTATGAGGAAAATCCTGGAAAAGAAAGTCCTAGATAAGGAGGCGAATTCAGTATGTGAACTATGTAAGTCCCCATCCCAACTCAGAACTGCGCACATGCAGAACAAACCCTCCCAAAAAATAACAAAGGCAGTATATATTTGGAATGTTTAGGATACTCAATATAAAAAAATAAAATAAAATAAAATAAAATAAAATAAAATAAAATAAAAAATAAAAATTAAAAAAAACTGGAAAGTCTGGCCAATTCTCAAGAAAAAGTAATCAACAACTGCCTGTCCCAAAATAACCCAGATGTTATAATTATTACACTGGTTTTAAAGGAGCTATTGTAAGCCTCCTCTACACTAATCCTCTTAAAATAAATGACAAGATAGCCGAAACCGGTTTGGGTCAGTGTTAGAGCGTCGGTCTGTGGACTGAAAGGTCCCGCATTCGATTCCAGTCAAGGGCATGTACCTTGGTTGCGGGCACATCCCCGGTAGGGGGTGTGCAAGAGGCAGCTGGTTGATGTTTCTCTCTCATCGATGATTCTAGCTCTCTATCTCTCTCCCTTCCTCTCTATAAAATATCAATAAAATATATTTTAAAAAAAAAAAAAGGGAATTGTGTATTCAGCTTCAAGTGCTGAATTTACTAATACAACGTTTTTTAAAAAAATAAAATAAATGATAAGATAGAAGTCCTCAACGGAAAGAAGTATCTATATATCTAACCTATTAATAGAGTAATATGCAAATTAATCATCACTCCACTACACAAGCTACGCCCACCAGCCAAAAGGGTGATAATGCAAATTAACCCACCCAAGATGGTGGGTAATTTGCATATCAAGATAGTGTAGAAAGAAGCCAAGCCTACAGAAGGGAGCAAAGCTGTGGAGAAGCAAGTGGGGCGGGGAAAAGGGAGGAAAGCAGGTGGGGCTGCTACCACAGCAGGAAGCCATATTGCAGAAATCTATATGTATGTATATAAAAGCCATATTGCAGGAATCTATATGTATGTATATAAAAGCCTAAGAGAACAGACGACTGGATGCAATGATGCACACTGACCATCAGGGAACAGATGCTCAACACATAGAATCATGCTCCCTCCTGTCTGGATTGGACCTGTGGAGATCAGGCCAAAACCAGCTATCTGACATCCTCCAAGGAGTCCCAGATTGCAAGAAGGTGCAGGCCAGCCTGAGGGACCCTACTGGTGCACGAATCCATGCACTGGACCTCTAAATTCTATAAAAAAGAAATAAGTAGCTACTTTAGAACTAAACAATATGATAACTGAAATTTTAAACATTCACTGGATGCACTCAACAAAAGAATGACAATTAGGAAAGAGTCAATGAATTTGAATATCAAACCATATAAATTATACAATTTGAAGAACAGAGAGAAAAATCTTAAAATAAAAGAGATTTAAAAAATATTAAGAAGACTTACATTTTTGTCATTAAAGTCCTCCATAAAGAGAAAAAAGAGCCGAGACTGGTTTGGCTCAGTGGATAGAGCGTCGGCTTGGGGACTGAAGGGTCCCGGGTTCGATTCCGGTCAAGGGCATGTACCTTGGTTGCGGGCATATCCCTAGTCGGGGGTATGCAAGAGGCAGCTGATTGATGACTCTCTATCATCGATGTTTCTAACTATCTCTCTCCCTTCTTCTCTGTACAAAATCAATAAAATATATTTTTTTTAAAAAAAGAGAAAAAAGAAACTGGAATAGGAAAATAATTTTTGAAAAAAAAATAGCAGAAAACTTCCTAATGTGTTTAAAAATTTTAATTTACAGATTCAAGAAGCTCAGTAAACAACTCAGTGAGAACCACATCCAAACATATAATCAAACTGCTGAAAACCAAAGATAAATAAAATGTCTTAGAAGCAGCTAGGAAAAGAAAACCAATACCGTATATATAAAAGAATATGATTCTAATAAAAATTATCACAGATTTCTGATTAAAAACTATGGAGGCACAAAGACAGTAGAATGACATCTTTAACATACAGGAAAGAAAAAATATATAAACTCAAATTCCTTTAGCTAATGAAAATATAATTTAGGAATAAAATAAAAATAAAGACATTAAATAAAGGAAAACTAAGATGATTTTTGCAAAAGAACAAGCTCAAAACAAAATGCTAAAAGAAATTCTTTTATTTTTTAAATGTTTTTATTGATTTCAGAGAGAGGAATGGAGAGGGAGAGATAGAAACATCAATGATTAGAGAGAATCATTGATCACTGCTTCCTGTATGCCCCCACTGGGTATTAAGTCCTGACTGGGAATCAAACCATGACCTCCAGGTTCAGGGGTTGACACTCAATCACAGAGCCACACCATCTTGGCTAAAAGAAATTCTCTAGATGAAAAGGAAATGATACTTAGAATATGAGGAATGAAAACATAGCAACAAAAATAATAAAATTTGGGGTAAATATAAGTCTATTTTTCTTCATTTATGTTCTTTAATTCTTGACTGTTAAAAGTAAAAATATTTAACACTGCTGTCATTCACATGACAACTACAAAGGAGAGAAGGTTGTAAGGATTCTTGAAAGGGTAGGTATGGATATTGTAATTTCTAGAACTACTGAACAATAAATAATGTAAGATCTGGGTAGCTATCCTTAACACAGGTTTCTACCAAAACTTTAAGAGGATCCTCAAAAGGCTAGCTGATGGGAAGGAGATGCTATATCCTCAGGTTGAGAGCTAAGAGGTTTCCTCTACCTGCCTCAGCAGGAGGTCAGCAGCTGGTCTGCTTTGCAATGCAGGCCCCTTTTGCATCTGCCACCCACTGGAATGTTTGGAATATGCAACCGAGGCTGAGTCTTAGTCATCTGACAAAGATATGTAACAACCTATTTATGAAACCCCAGTAGCTAGATAAGAAAAGGTAAGGAGAAACAGCCAGAATACATGATGGGTAAAGTAGAATAGCTGCAGGAGACAGATTAAAACTGCACTAAAAAATAAAAATTAAATTTAAAAAGTTTAAAACCACTCACAAAACATGATTTAAGAACTTAATTCAGCTCATGATTTGGAGAAGATAATAGTCATTTTTGAGACCTGACTTTGTGGTTCAAATAAACTGTATGCAAAAAGAAAAAAAAAATCTTAAAGCACAAAGGATAATTATAAAAATATTTCAGCCAAAAGAAAAAAGATAAGAAACTGAGAGGGTGCGGGGGGGGGGGGGGGGGGCCTTGTTATATGAATAATAGAAACTCTAAAAGGGAAATAGGAAAGGCAAAGAATAAAGGCAATAATTAAATGAACAATAGAAGAAATTTTTGTACAATAGAAAAAAATTTCCTGTGGGGAAGAAGACAGATTTAAATTGCTCACTGTGTTCCAGACCAAATTAATGAAAAAAGAAACTTATAAGCATATTCTGATAACATTTCTAAACTTCAAAGTTAAAGGAAAAGTATCATATGCAGAAAGGAACGAGCCACCCAACAGTGGACTGGCATTGAACTTGTAATATGCAACGCTAAAAAGCAAAGAACAAAGGAAAGACACTTATAGATTATTAAGAAAAAAAGAAATGTAACCCAAAAATTCTATAATCATTCAACTCTCAGAGCAAAGAGATATACCAGGCTATGTAAGAAACCAGAGTGCATATCATCCTTCTATCTTATCTAAGGACAATTCTTGAGAAAAATATTATAACCAAGCAGGGAAAGAAACAGAACAGAAATTTAATATGATGGAAGAAGTAAAGAAGGAGGGTGATCAACCCTTGTTCCTCCGTAAGTCTAAATGATTAAGGATAGATTATGGGAATGTGTAATATAGTGCTGAATATTTTTTAAACAGAGGCATCATAATGTAGGGCATATTTTAATAAGTAATAAATTAACTCAACAACACCTAAAAGTTGGGTAGAGGGACTGAAAAAGGAGAGAGTAAAAATTACCCAGATGTCTCTTGAATTGTGAAATTGGGGATAGGAGTATGGGAAAGTACAGAAGGAAAAGTAAAAATATTCTAGAGTTCCCAACAGTAGAACTGGGTTCAGGAGATGTGGGGTGAAGAAATATTCTATCTTGGTAACGCAATTAATAGAGGTGAATTGTCTATGAGAGTAGGGAAAGGGAAGACTCACTTAAAAATATGAATGCATTAGGAAATCATTTCTTTGTTCAGAAGCATTCATTAGGAAATTTTACACATTTCTTTTGCATGATCTTTTCTCACTTCTCCCTTATTTGTGTGATTTGGGACTTAGGAGTAGAAGTAGAGATGACAACATTGTTTTTAAATTTGCAGAACTGTAGGTCTCATTACTGGTAGGTTTTGAGTGCAGTTTACAGACCATGATGACTAAGCATTCTCTTTCTTCTAATATTTGACAATGAAATCATTAGCTTTCTATAGCTTATATCTTCTCATTCAAGTGATATCAAAAATGTCTCCTCCCAGATAAGACACATCATCCAAATATCCAGTCAGACACTTTGCCAAATCATCTTTTTTTTATATATATAAATCTCGTAACACTCATTGCTAGCCATTTATTTGATTATTTGATTGCCCATTTATTGACTGACTTTCTATCTCATCTCACATGAATGGAAGCTCAATGAGAACAATAACGTTGCCTTTTTGTCGCCCATCTCCTGCACCTATAGTGGTGTCTGCTCCATAGTAGGCAGTCAACCATATTTGCTAAGTGAGTGAATCTCTAATCAAATCCTTATGGCTTTCTACTTTTTATATACCTGTGATCATTACTGTCCTTATCCGGGCTGAGATGAGCTCTTCCAGGACAGGTTTTGTCTCTTCCTTCAATCGATTCTCCAAGATCAGCAATCCCAGAAATATCAGGTCTGCTTCTACCTTGTCCCTGGAAATATATATATATATATCAATGATTGAACAGAAATAATACATCTTCCTTCAGTTAGAAAAACAAAGACAAATATCTTTTTGTCAGAGTGGTACTGACTCAGTCATTCAAGCACCATTCCCAAGGCACTGAATATGTGCCAGGAACCATCTAGACAGGAAGGGGACACAAGGATACTGAAATGTTTCCTTTGACTAAAACAAGAGGAAAGAGGACTTATTAAGCAAAAAAAAAAATAAAAAAAAATGGCTTTAACCTTTGTAGAGAGTGACCTAAAAGACCACAAAGGTCTCTTCCATCTGCTGTGTTAATTTCATTTCTTCACTGCTGGCAATCACCAGAGAGGAGTTCTACCTCTGGTACAAAGCATCATAAAAAAGAAGTGAGGCACCAGTTTCTAGAAAATGCCAGTTTTTCTAGAAACCGGCATTACTATCAATATCATTTTAGTCCCAGGGGTATGAGACCATAATCTCAAAAACATAGTTTCTCTTTGAAGTCCCCTCTCCCCCCTCTATCTGTCAGCTGGTAGCATTGGTCTTCTACATAAAATATGAATGTTTCTGTAGCAAGTGGGGTCTCTAAGACTCTCATTCACTGCAAGGACATTGCTAAGACATTCCACAGGACCAAGTGCAGGGGCATACATTTGTGGTTGGGGGCTGAAGGATTCTTCCAAGATTAAATTATCTAAGACTCAGACACCTCTAGTAGACACAAGAGCAAGGCATCAGCATTGCTTATATCTAGCTAAAATACAGATGAAAGGAATACCCAAGCCACTTGGCCTTGCTACCCTGTTTCCCCGAAAATAAGACAGTATCTTATATTAATTTTTTCTCCCAAAGTTGAGCTAGGTCTTATTTTCAGGGGATATCTTATCTTTCCATGGTCTTATTTTTTGGAGGATGTCTTATTTTGGGGGAAACACGGTAGCTATGTGTGTCTCACATCAGCCAGGGGCATGATGCTCAGGGAACACTGCTAACATCTCCAGAGTGGCGGGGAATGGACACAATTGAAACTATTTATCTCAAATTAGGCTTGGAAGGATAATATTTCCTATTCTGAACCTGACATTTAACTCTCTTCACAATCTGATTTTACAGTGGTTTTTGTTTTGTTTTGTTTTTTGTTTTTTTGTTTTTTTTTCAGGTTCATCTATCACTAAATTCTTTATCCACCCTAATCTCCAGCCAAATTGGGCCACTCACCATGGGTACGCTCTGTATTCAACCATCTTTAAACATTTGCTCTAGACTGCCAGAGATACTCTTTCATATTTCATGAAAAAGGTTATATGTTTCTCCTGGTCTGTCATTGAAATCATTTATATATTTTGAGGGCCAATGCACATCAACTTCCCACAAAGGTTCCGCAGATTTAAAAAAAAAATACTTGTTTCCTAAGTATATTATTTCTATCTCAGATTTTCTCATATTTATTTGTCCATATATTATCACTCTTTTCTATATGATCTATTAATATCTCTACTTCAATTTCTTTCTTGAGGGTAAAACCACCTGGTTTAACAAGTTTAAGCCAAACTCGGTTTGGCTCAGTCAATAGAGCCTTGGCCTGTGAACTGAAAAGTCCCAGGTTTGATTCTGGTCAAGAGCGTGTACCTTGGTTGCGGGCACATTCCCAGTAGTGGGGTGTGCAGGAAGCAGCTGATCAATGTTTCTCTCTCACCGATGTTTCTAACTCTCTATCCCTTTCCTTTCTCTGTGTAAAAAGTCAATAAAACATGTTTTTTAAAAAAAAAAAAAAAACCACAAACAAACAAGTTTAATAATACCCAACACAGAGGAGGTGCTCAGCCAATGTTTGCCTAGTTGAAAGGTTCTGGTGTCTGGGGTTACCATTTTTGCCAGGCAACCTATAAAAATTAATTTCCTCTTTCAGAAATTCTACTGCCAGAGGGTTTTCACAAGAATCAAAATCAGTCTGTCAAAGTCAATGGTCATTTACTGAACATGTAAGAAAGTGCAAAAATTGGACTAAGAAAAGGAGGAAGAATATACAGAGACTATAGTAGCTCCTGACTCCAGAGATTCCATGTTCAGTCAGGAGGACAAGATCAGGCTTGACCACTTTGGGCCTTGAAAGGTACCATGCACAGATAAAAATCCTTTGGAGTCAGAGAGGAAGGTGTAATTATTTCTGGATAGAATGATGGATAAAGTCGTCCTGGAGGAGGTGATATTTGAGCTGGTCATTAGAGGATAACTTAATTGATTTAGGTCCTCCGATCTTTCTAGTGGCCCTCATATCCATGCCTGGGGCTTTAGATATGTCCAGAGATGATATGACATGGTCAAACCACAAAGCATTAGATCAGACCAAGAAAATGGCCAGAGGGTCCAGTATCTGACATAGTCTTGCAGTCTACCTTGGCACTCATATTCTGGTTCCTCTGGTACATAGTCTTTGTAGGGTTCAATGCATAGTAATCAGGAGTCCAGAGTTATAAATAATTCCAGCTCTGTTCCTACTTTGCTGTGTGACCAAGAGTAAATCACTTTCTTTGTCTGGTAATCTATTTCTTCTTTTGTAAAAAAAATAAATAAATAAATAAAAAGTTAGCAAAATGAATTTACTTACAAAGTCTCTTAAAGCTCTAACATTATTTGTTTCTTCTTTTCATGAGTATTCAGTCTCAGACAAGAAATAAAGAGGAAAAGCAGTCCCTTAAGGGGTCTCAAGGTCTGCATTTTGGAATAGCATGCTATCTTTATCTGCTTCCTGCATAGATTATACCTCCTCCCAAAGCCTCTAAAAATAATAAAGAATAAAGAGTGTAATACAAAAGGAGCATTGTCATTCTTGTGACTATACTTCATGTTCTTAAAATCCATGAGATTTTTAAAGGATGAAATATGCAACACAGCAGGCTAAGAACCCTCAAAAAAATTATGATACCTGTGTTGGAAACACTCTGAGCGAATACACACATAAACACCACTGAAAGAATGCTCTATTCAATCACGGATTAGCAAAGGTTGAGTAAATTAACCTAGCTAGGAAAAGATGTAGTGCTGATGTGGCTTTAACCCAGGAGGGGCAAATTGATGACCCAAGATCAGATTGAATTAGTGAACTTGTGTTTGGAACTTATCAAATTTTGAAAAGTTGGAATTTCAATGCTCTTGGCCAGGGCATGTACTCTGCTGTGTGCCGCAGCCCTCACCATTCCCTATTGTTCATGTGTCTCCACCATCAGTCTTTGTTGCATGTACAAGCACTGAAGCCATGAGTTTGAAACTTGCAGATATGCACATAATAAAATCCTACGATGGATGGGTTGCTATGATGCACACTGACCACCAGGGGGCAGATGCTCAATGTAGGAGCTGCCCCCTGGTGGTCAGTATGCTCTCAGAGGGGGACTGCTGCTTAGCCAGAAGCCAGGCTCATGGCTGGTGAGTGCAGCGGCAGCAGGCAGAAATCTCCCAAGGGGTGTCAGAGTGTGAGATGGTGCAGGCCGGGCTGAGAACCCACCTCCAGCCAGTGCACAAATGTTATGTACCGGGCCTCTGGTTCTATTATAATAACCAGAAACAACAGCATAGTATCCAGAATCTTGGTATATATCTGTCGACAGGCTCCCAGGAAACAAAATCCCATTCCCAATTCTGCCACATCCTGGGCTCAACTTTCCTTTTCTTTAAAATGTGAGATCTGATCTCAAAGTTCACTTCAGCTCTCTGACCAATGATTTGAGTGACCTGAGTTAATTAAATTACAACAAATATTTAGAGTTGCAATAGCCAAAGTGACCCTTAGCCCAAGGGTCACTTTGGCTAAGGGTTCCATAAAGCTGGCCCTGAGGAGAGTGGCCCACTATGCCCAGAAGTCTAATACTCTATGATTTTAGAAGAGTCGCTTCTGCCTCTGGTCCTCTCTGCCCATTCACAAAACAACAGGGTTGGGACACAGTTGTGTTTCTCAGCTGGGGCACTACTGCCTCTAGAGGACATTTTGAAAACTTTTAAGACATCTATGCAATATTTTCTGTAATGACCAATGCACAATGAATAATTACCCTGCATCCCAGGTGCCCTTTGGATATTTTACAGGACATTCATGATACTAAAGGATTGGTTATACTTTTCTAAGTCAGTATAGGCTTATCCTGCTTATATTATACCACATAGCATGGTATATCATACTATATATATATATATATACATATATATACATATACATATACATATATATTACAACTATATTATGATAAACAAACTTAAAATTGTTTATACTTCCCATAGCTCTGCTTTATATGAAAGCACAAAGTAATTTTGCACATTTTTAATATTCTATTGAATTTTCCAGGGATGTAAGTACTGTGCAACTAGAAAGAATTTTACCAAGAGTTTTAAAGCATTTCACAGTCACCTCACTGAGAGCAAGACTGCTGGTGCTATTTGAGACTTCAGTGTATAACACCTGTATCAGTCTGCATTGCTAGCTCTAATGATCCTACATACAGGTGCAAGCAGCATATTGCTTTATTTTGTTTTAGTGGAGTAACTGAGCTTTACTGAGTTGTCTGTTACTTTTGTAATACATTGTATTTTTTTGCTTTTATTTTTACTGTATAGGATGGAATCATATTTATTTTTACAAAGAATATGTGCAGATTGTATACATATGGATTTATTTTAATATGTAAGAGGAAGTGATACAAAATATAGCTGCAATAAGAGAGTGTTGTTGAGCCTGACAGACTTGAAAACAAATATGTTAGACCTTCCAATTTTAAAATCCTAAGTAACAAAATAAGCCTTGATTATCTCCATAGCAGTGTTACCAATAATGACTGGAAAGAGTACTGGACAGGGCATTGAAGGTGAAATAAACACAATAGTCTAAAAACAGTGAAAAATAAAACAACAGATAAAATTGAACTAAGAGTTCATTTTAGTCCTTGAGGATCCCTATTTTAATCTAATTATATCAACTCTTTCTCTATAATGGCCATCCTGAAGCTTTTTCTTGTTTTTCTATAGACATTTGTTAATTTAAACAAGTCCAAGCTATATGTTTTTCATTAATTTGTATGTTTCTTATTAATATATTTTTCAAATGTTATGTTTTCTTTCAACTAATTCACCAACTATTATTTTAAAAATTCGCTACTTGTATTTGGTTCAAAATGAGAGCATGACCTTAATTTCACACTATGAAACATTGCTTATAATCATATATGTGTTTTCACAAAGCTGTACAACCATATCCTATTTCACAGTGTATACAGATATTTCTCATAAAGTCTCCCAGTCATCAGCTTTGTGATTCAGATAGGGTAGGGATGACTATATTCCTGTCTACTAAGTTCCGAAGCATTTCATGCCCATGAATCCTGCAATCTATGTTGCTGAGTCTATTGCCCAGCCCAGTACATCTTTCCACCCAGTCATCCTGCTTTATGAAAAGCCTCCCCACTCACCTCATCAAGGCAGCAGTGTGGTGGTCCATTTCCAGCTTTTTGTAGGCCAGTGCTATGACCCGGAAGCCTTGTGTCGTGTAAATCTGAAGTTCACTAACAAAATTAGCTGGCACTGTTCAGAAAATAACACAAGATTCGTAGGCAACATTTGCTACTCAGTTGGTATGGTAGAGAAACAAATCTAGTTTTTACAAAAACACACACACACACATACACACACACACACACACACAAAACAAGCAAACAAACAATACCACCACATTTCTAAAAATGTACACAACAAGTCAGTGGGAACCCACCTAAATACAACTACATTGTCAAGATTGACCTCTCGGTATTCAGTGAAGCTGAACTGAGAAGGAAGCATTTAGAGAAAGAAGAAGACAGCCGAAACCGGTTTGGCTCAGTGGTAGAGCGTTGGTCTGTGGACTGAAAGGTCCCAGGTTCGATTCTGGTCAAGGGCATGTACCTGGGTTGCGGGCACATCCCCAGTAGGGGATGTGCAAGAGGCAGCTGGTCAATGTTTCTCTCTCATCGACGTTTCTAGCTCTCTATGTCTCTCCCTTCCTCTCTGTAAAAAATCAATAAAATATATTTTTTTTAAAAAGAAGAAGACAAAGATGAAAATGAAGATGAAGAAGAAGGACAAGAAAAAAAAAGGTGAGAAAAATATGTAGTTCTTTATTTGTCCAGTTTAACTAACAAACATTTATGTGCGAGGCATTGGCTCTGCAGCGATTAAACTGCAGGATCTCTGTCTAGTAAGGTATCAAATAGCAGACTAACAATATGATCAAATGAGATCATTTCTATGACCCAAGTAATTGCAGTATGGAATCATTTAGACACACATATACAAGTCTGGAAAGTGTGGTTAGATGAAGGAAAGGAAAGAACATTTGGCTGAGGGAGGACCATGTGCTCAGGCATGGACACATGAGACAGATAGCCTTAAGTAGTCAGTTCAGCTCAAGAAAAGCACAGTATGTGAGGATGGGAGTGGTAAGTCATATCTAGAAAGTTTAATAGGAGTAAGATCATGAAGGCCTTATATAAGATCTTAAAGGAATTTGAGATTTTCCTGGAGTCTATAGGAAGCAACCAACAGAAGGAAAGTGACAACATAGTTATATTTGGTGATGGAAAACCCAATCTAGTCAGAGTATAAGGGATGAATCAGCATAAGAGTGACTGGGAGCAGGGGTCAATTCACCAACTATTGAAGTGATCCAGTAGAGGGAAGATGAGGGCATGAGCTGCTAGAGTGATAGGGCTATGGGTTAGCAATTGCCAAGACAGAAGTACTGAGTGAGAGGGACAAATCTGGAAAGAACCTCAAATGGGGGGAGTAGGAGAATGGTAGTGTTATTCACCACAATGGGAAATGCAGGAAGTGAGAAAGATAATCTAGATTTTGGTATTGATTTTGGCATGTAAATGAGTCATCCTATGGGCAATGATCAATAGGCAATTGGATTCATAGGTCAAGTTCTCAGTGGACATATTTGGGCTGGAAATACAAATTAGCTGGAAATACAAGTCTGTTCACTTACCTGTCTCAGGTTGACAAAAGCTGGCCACCTTCTCTGGCGCACCTTTCATGAATACCAAACGGCCACCCCCCATCTCTTGGACAATGACTGTCATCCTCTGCAGGGCTGATGAGAATGGGAACTGATGCAGGATTGCAATTCCTTCCACTGGGACCTGGTTGAGGGATGGGAAATGGAGAAGGACACACCAACATAGCTTCTAACTATTGGGAATTAACTATTCCTCCCCGAATCCTGATTTTAGCAAATAAGGGACACAAGTTCTCACTAGTTTTCTCATGTGAAATTCAAAGAAGACATGACTATGACCTTTCAAAATTGTGGGCCTAACAGGACTTTCCCCTTGAGGTTGGGTGTTGCAGAGTGGATAGCAGATGAAGCTTACCTGGCTGGCTGTTTTGCTGGGCTTAACTACCATAGCGTGTGCCGGCACTCCCTTGATGTGGAAATTGTCCTCAGAAATAGCCATTTCCTATTTCACAAATGGAATATTTTTTGTTGTAGATTTATTGATACTACGCTCAAACCCTTGTCTTGAGAAAATCCTTAGACCACCTCAATGTTTTCTTGGTTCTCCTTCCTTTGCTAGATGGAGGTGAACCACTCTTCTTTTGTCACAGGGGGGCGGGGGGGGGGGGATGCATTGAAAATGCTGTGGAACTTCAAAGGCAAACTCTTCTGAATTATTCATGCAATTTATCCTGCTTTCTCTGTTGGAGCACGCTGTGTAAAGGTCTCAATCTCTATTTCTGAAGAGCTTGACTCAAAAATAGTGAGCATAGATAGCCAGACTTATTTGTGTATGAGGCAAGCACCTTACTGTCTGTTTTTTATCCTGAAGTTCACTGTCATTCCTGTTCTTCCCTTTCTCTCTAATTTGAATTGATGGCCCTCATGTACAGCATGGCAGGGACTGTGATGTACATGGCTGATGGTCAGTAAAGACTCCGTAATTGCTATAATGATGACCCTAAATCATAGTCACAAGAGACTTTTACCAAAGATGTCAAAATACTTTGTAACCATCTCATGGAGTGGTTGAAAAAAAAAAAAAATAACAGACAGGAAATTGTAATCCCTTCTGAAAAATACAGAAACTGTAATCCAGAAAGGATAAGATTAGCAAAGTCATATCAAACCACTACAGAACCATGCTCTGCTAGAGTTGAGAAGGACTTTAATGATTGTCCTCTTCGGTGGGGCTCACTCATGTATCACAGGGGCCCAGAGCGCATCTAGCTACAGAGTACAGGGGTGGTGGATTTGTGGCTGAGTAGGCAGGGCTGTGTGTTCCCTAAGTTTTACCTTTTTCTCCATCTCAACCACAGCCACACCAACTATTTGTTTTTTATGAAGTACTTCTAAATAAGGTTTTCTTTTAAGAAAATATTCCAGGTGTGGTTCTTCATGTAAACACTGCTGGTCTACTTCAACCCCTTCATTTTGAGATTTTTGGGACCTAGCCCCAACAAGAGAGATGACTTCACAGGGTTAAGTGCTCAGTTAGAGCAGAGCCAAAACTAGAACTTGGAAAGCCAGATTCCTCTTCCTGAACAACACCCCTTGCTCTTAAATCTACTTTAGAGTCCCATCGAAAGTGCTCATGTTTCCCTGTTTACGATTTCCAATCTTAGAAACAAAGTCAATATAAAATGAATAGGAATAAAACTCCTGATAACAAAGAGTTATTCTAAGCATGGGAGAGGGGAGGCAGTGAGGTTCCCTAAACCCCATGTTCTAGAAAACTTTGAAACAAGACATTGCTTATACTACAACCTAAAATTTTGGAAACAATAACTAAAATTACATAATAATTCTAATTACATTCATGCAAATGAGCCTGTGATATGTACCAGGAAATTTTTAAGGGCACAATTTCATTTAATCACAATAACCCCACCGTGAAGATACAATGTACAGGGGAGGAAACGAGGCTCACACTGGTCTGTCTCTTACTGCTCTATGTCCTCCATTATTGAAGACCTCACATCTTACAAGTATAGACTATCAGTGATAAAGCCTGTGTTTCTCTAGCATTGAAAAAACTTTTTAGGTTCTCTGCAGGCAAAGGCTTACCCAGTTGGTGGCTTCAAACATTTTGAGGTCCAGAGGGTCTCCCTGGATGGTCTCATCAAGAAGGATCAGAGAGTGGCAGCTGGCCATGGCTGCACACAGTGGGCCCCATGGCAAAGCCCTGCCCGAGGCAAAGCTGTGGACCTCCTGGAAGCTAAAGGAGAAAAGGGAAAGGGCTTCAGCCCAATCCTCCATCCAAAATGGAGCTTCCAGAGGTGACTTTTTAAAAAGTAATTTAACGTGTTTTGTTACAAAATACACCCACTCTCCAATCACCCAAATTAATAGTGCTTCATTTAGCCATCATCCTTACATGAGTTCACTGAAAATGAGAAAGTCATTCAAGATCTTTCCTTACTCTTTCTCTGGTATGGATTTAATTCCAGAAGTATGGAAGGAACTAGAAGTTAATCCTAAGCATATCTACTCCTGCACCAACTCTCAGACCACTTCATTTCCAATGCTGTGAGACAGAACAGCTTTGCTCAAGCTATGACTATTTGTGTACATGGGTATTTCCCTGCTTAATGCCTTCTGTATCTCTCCAACATTTTGGCCAACATTAGACAGAAAACAAGTGCATGAATGAATGAATAGGTACTGAAGATCTGAAGAGCATAATGATAAAGAAATATAACCTAAAAATATTTTTAAAGGGATACTCCATTCCTCTCTTCCACTCTGGCATCTAGTGTATCATACCGCAGTCATCATCACCATCACTTCCTGTAAAGAGTGACTTCATCTAAAATCGGCTGAGATACAACTATAATGTCAGATGCAGTGTGCTGTCACTAATTCAGGGCTGAAGTCAATCAAGTTCAGCCTCTGGCCCATTAGAGGACTGTCCTCTGCAACCTTGTGGTTGTAGCACAGTAGATGGTCCATAGAGTGATTCATCCTACGAGGACTTCTGATAGCATAAAGTGCTTCCTGAACATTGAGGCAAAACGTGCTTCTTGGAGCCAGTCAGAATCATCTATCTGTGCTCCTACTTTTGTGGACAAGCTCAGCTAGAGATTGCTGCATAAAACCTCCCTTCCTCTGAGTTTACAGAGGAACCCTGCGCTGTGCCTTTAATACACAGTTTGCAGACCACTCACTTTTCTAGTTACTTTCTTGAATAAATTTTTATTTGTCATAGTTTGCCTTAGAGTGTGGTCTTAAGGATCAGATTATTACTTCTCATGATATGGACACTGCATTTCTTTAAATATTGCCTTAGGTTGTTCTAGCCTTTTGTTTTTGAAAGTCTCCACATCACGGTGTTAACTTATATGCTGGCCATATTTCTTGCTGGCTTCTTTATCCAAGCTTCTCTAAGAGTTCAAAACCTCTTGGCTGATTACTGACCCTGTTGATCATATCTATTATTATATATCAAAGGGTTAAGTTATCTTAGTATTTACAATAGGCCCCTGGCATTTTGGTAAACAGTAAAAGAAAGAAGCCACCAGCAGTGTGATCAACATGGATGCTTAAGCTCACACAAATCAAGGAAAATGGAATCTTATTTTTCACGTGGCACACACATTGTCATCAGTATGTAATTCTGAATTCCTGAGATTGGACCAGACTCTAGTTTACACAACAAATAAATAGAATTCTTCTCTTATCCCTGTCCTTGTATTTTTATTTGAATGCTAGAGATTTTTATACTCAGATAGCCCAGGTAGTGTGCCAAAAGTCCTTTAAGTATCTAGCACATTGTGCAAGTCCTTTTTGGAAAAGCTAAGACTTATTATGGCTCACCTTTTATCAGAAGACATTTAGCAGACTATAAGTCAGGGCCTAACTTCTTACCTAGAATTGAATCTGCTTTCTCTCATGTTTTGAATTAAAGTTGGTAATTATCTTTAATTTTAAATTGTTATTTAAGTCATTTGAAACCAGCTTTCACCCTTTTGAAGAAAGGCAGAAATAAAGAGTAATGGGCCTATTAATCGATAGCTTAAATATTATATGAATTATTTTTATTTAAATTTGACAAGTTTTATTTATAAATAAAAGTTTAATAAATAAGTCTGATGTCAATTCAATAAGTAGAGTAGCATTCAAAAGATGGAACACATTTAATTCATTTTGGATGAACAAACATATACTGTGCATCTACCTTTTGCACCTGGTATAGTGCTACAAAATAAGGAACACAAATATAAATAATAAAAATAGTGCTCTCAAGATGTTCACATTTTAATAAATGCAAACACTTTTTTGTTGAGGCTGAAACAGAAAAATATTAATGAACAAGACCAGGCATATATCCAAATCTACCTTCAAGGAAAATAAATAGAACTTTAGAAAATTTATACTTATAAAAGGCTTCTTCTGTACACCAACTACCAAGATCAATTTATTTATCCCAGGAAACAGACTTGTTTATAAACACTTTATATTCACATTTTAATATGAAAATGTATTACATACTTGTAATTAAAATATTTTGTGGATAAATTGTATGTCGTATGCATAATGCAGAAGAATGCTATGAACTTTTTATGACTAAAATGCTTTGCGATTTAGTTTGTGAGAAATACCTTCATTAAAAAATAAAATAAAAAGGAAATGTCAAATGTTTTCTGTTCACGCTAGAAGTTGCAGAGAGAAAAGCTGAAAGAGAAGTATTCCGAGGCATGGCCGACAGGGGACCTCAGGAGAGGTTATGCAAATCCCTACCTGGAACTGAAAGCTGCCCAAACTTAGGAGTTCTGGGGCAGCCAAAACGTGGAATTCTCAGAACTAGAATTTCAAGGAAAATGAGTACACTAGCTCCAGCTCCATGGACGTTCCTTACACTGAACTTCATTGTACACAGGTGAACATGGTGTCCTTCCTCCTGGCACAGAAGAAGGCTTTGAAGGAGAGTGTCCTACTGGGCCAACTGAGGTACACTGGGCCAACTTCAGTCCCCTGACTAATGTGCTGACTGCAAATTGTATTTTAGCAAGGATTTGAATGCAGTGTCAAAACTTCTTCTTCATCTCCTGGGTTTGTGTGCAGCATGTGGCAGGGGCTGGGACAGGGGCAAACTTAGGTTTTACCGCAAAGTATTAGTGAAACCATTAAAAAGCAGATATTAAATGAAGCTATGCTGGCAATCACTGCACACCAAAGCCAAAGCTAAATTGTCTCTATTGTGAATTTTCCTAAGAAAACACAAAGTTCCAGGAAAAAAAAATGCAGAGAATTAAGTCCAAGGTACTATGGGTGATAAAGGGATTCTATGGAAAGTAACCTCTCAGGTGATCTGGTCAAAAATTCCTAACTGGGTAGTAATGGAAGATAGTTATGCCCACTCCTATAACTTATTTAATAAAAGGTTTATCTTTGCCGTAAGCATGTCCTATCCATTGTTTTGTGCATTTAGGTCCCTCTTTTGGCCATGTCCCACCTAAGCATCTCTAAAATCCTGATGCCCCTCCCCCGTGACATAAAATTCTTATTATTCAAAAAATGAACTCTGCCTAAACCGGTTTGGCTCAGCGGTAGAGCATCGGTCTGCGGACTGAAAGGTCCCAGGTTCGATTCTGGTCAAGGGCATGTACATTGGTTGTGGGCACATCCCCGGTAGGGGGTATACAAGAGGCAGCCGGTCAATGTTTCTCTCTCATCGATGTTTCTAGCTCTCTATCTCTCTCCCTTCCTCTCTGTAAGAAAAATCAATTAGATATATATATATATTTTTTTTTAAAGTGAACTCTGATTCACATGGAGGAAGCCTAAAAGGCCATTAATTTGGTCTAAACAAGCTTCCAAAGAACATGGCATCCATGAAAGAGAAAAGTAAAAGAAGAAAGGACAGTTGAAGTACTGAGGAAGAAATCACTAAGGAATTGTTTTTAAAAATAATATGAAGTGATATGAAAAATAGCAAATAAAATTTCAAAACACATAATAGAGAACTGAAATGCATAGATGTCATAATATATTTATATACTGAATATGAGGCCCCTAGAACAATAAGAAATGCAAAAACTTCACTGTTAATAACTCATTCTCAAATTGCATCCCCTAAAAATCAAATTGGCTCCCTGTGGGGCATGTGCCCCATGTTGGGAACCACTGTTCTAGGTTAATGCACCTTTGAAATAACCACCCTCAAAAGAGCACAAAATCTTGTGAACTACCCTATAACCCAGCCCATGCCTTGCTTTCACCCTATGCAGTCTTCCTTGTTCCCTCCTTAATTTCAACTGCATTAAAGAAACTGCAAAACTGTCATTCTCTGTAGCACTTGAGGTACTGCTTGCCAACAATTGTTGTCAGTCTTGGCTCAAGTCACCTCTTGTGAAAGTTCTCTACCGGTTTGGATGCTTTTACGTTGATGTACTCACCCATTCTTATCGCAGGGCATGACTCCCCAGAGATCCAGGCCTTCCCTTGTCAAGGTGCCTGTCTAAACAGAAACAAACATCGGTTTACTCTGAAGATCTAGCGCCCCATTGCGAAGACAAACAAGGTTTGTCTTAATAGAATAACATATGCCACAAAATTTTATAGAGATCAGTACTTCATGCAAGAATACAGTGAGGTGGGTATCTGGACTCCCTGGGGAAGCTTGGATGAGTTCATCCCAGTTGTATGGCCTTCAAGTGCTTAATCTCTGCACTTAGTAATCTCAACAATGAAAGGAAGAAAGCCAGATCTGCCTAACATATTTCAAAGGCTTGTTCTGAGATTCTAAAGCCAGATTAAACAGATGGGAAAGTTCTTGGTAAGCCTACGAGAGCTAAAAATAATGGGTGAATCCCAGTTCTTATTGCAGAAGTTAAAAGTGTGCCATCAGAAATAAGTAATGGGAGTAAGAGAGTTTTCTATTGTCCTCAAGAAATGGTTCATTATTTGACACATACTTAGTTAAAAGGTGTTTGTTGGTACATTTCTCAGTGTAGTGTAATGATAAAGAGTTTATCTGAGCTAAAACACCATCTGTGTGATCTAGGCAAATTACTGAATTCCCCTAAATATCAGAGCCCTTGCCTGTAACATGGTTATAATCATATAAAGTTGTTGTGAAGGTTAAATGAGATAATACAATAAAGTGCTTAATTTAATGTCTGGCATAGAGTAAGAGCTGATAATAATGATAATTACTCATAATAATTACTTATTTAATATTTAAATTCTTGTCACAATTATCTTCCCACCCCATTTCTTTTTCCAAGTCCAAAAATAATATTATTTCATAAATAGAACATTTTTCCTTATAATGCTAGTTTGATCACAAAATAATGATGAAATGGTAGGAAGAGCCACATTAACTTTCTGTTCTTGGTAGGTAGCTTGATTAGATAATATAGCTCCGATCTCATTAATTCTCTTCTGTCAAAAACCTTCAATGTACTGTTATTGGGTACAGATTGATATTTGGGAAAATGAATAAAGTTCTGGAGATGGGTGGTGGTGATGGTTGCATAATAATTTGAATGCACTAAACTATTTAAGAAGGTTAAAGTGGTAAATGTTATATTATGTATATCTTACCACAATAAAAAGAATAAGAAAAGGAAATGCAACACTAAAAAATAAAAGCCTTCAATAGCTTCCCTCTGCCTAAAGAAATATTTCTTAGCCAGACATCCAAGGCTTATCAACACGCTGTCCCATTACTAATGTCCTGCTCTGATCAAAACCACATTTTATTGCTCTTTAGACTCTATGCCTTTGCCCATAATCTCCTGCCTATAATAGTTTTGTATTGTACGTATTTTAAGTATTTTTGTGATGTTTGACATCTTAAAAAGTATTTCTAGCTGAAGAGAGACCACCTCTCTGGGGCTGGCAATTACTAGTAGAAAAGACAGCAAGGAACTCAGGCAAGAGCACATATTTACTATGCAAACTAACCATTGGGTAGCCAAACCTCCCCTCTTCTCTGGTCACACTCCCCAGGAGACTATATTCCTCTTCCTTACTCATCCCAGGGCCAGGTATCAGACAACTAGGAACCGTTTCTACAGCCCAAAGCTCACTAGAACCATTCAAACTAGCCTGCAGAAACCCCAATAAAGACCAAGGCCTAAGCGCTCCCCTCACTCCTGCTTTTGCTTCCTGATCCAAATATGGCCTGCTTCCTGTGGCCTTGCCTGGTGAGCTATGCCTCTTCTTTCTAGAGGGAATGTGAACATTGACCTTTCCCTGCCATCACTCAGTCACCTTTATAAATTAAGACCCAGGCACAAAACCGCCTTTCATTTCCATCTTATCCTCTCACAGCTTCCATCTTTACTCCAGCATATGTGTATACAGACTAGAAAAATATCTTCAAGAGAAGGTAGAGTAAGAACTGGCTGGGAGTAACTGCCATATAATTAATCAAGGTTAACTTTAAATAAATTTTTCATTCATTCATCCATTCATTCAGTCAGTCAGTCATTCATTAATTCAATTTATTTATTGAATTTATTGAATACTGACTATCCAAGCAATTTCTTAACATTAAGGATACAACAGTAATCATAGTAAAAGATTTAAATTTCACTCTCTGAGGGTTTTGGTGATAGACAGAATGCTATTTTAATTAATTGTGTTTCATAGACCATTGGAGATGGAAGGATCCTAAAAGATTCTCTAATGCAGTACCTACTGTCTCTTCTCTAAACCCTATAATCTGAGACCTCGCGAGATGTGTCATTCCTAGGTCACACAGCCAATCAGGGATAAAGTGAAGTCAGATACCCACATTTTGTTTCCCTGACTCATGAGCGTGTAAAGCACTTATACAGGATGACAATGATGATTCAGATGAGGGTGAGCATGAAGATGAAACACACATACCTTGTCAAAGCAGACAAGGTTTAATTGCCCACATACATTGATCCTCTGGGGACTGATACAATAGATGCCTCTCTTCTTCAGCCTCCTCTGGGCATAGATAATGCCTGTGGTCAGGGCAGCAGGTAGAGCAGGAGGAACTGCAATTGTGATGACATCCAGGGCTTTCTTCACCACCTCCCCGGGATCTTCCTGGAAGATACCTCACTCTCACTATCACAGATAAATCAATCATAAAAAAGCTTTGTGCAAATGACTTTTTCCTTCTTTTTGTTTACTTATTTATACTAAATTTCTAGAAATAATATAAGCAAGTCAAACATGGGTCACAGGGTATGAACATTTTGGTTCTCAATACATATTGCCAAAGTGCAATGAAAAGGGTTTGTAATGATTCATTACTACCAGCAGGCAACTATGGGCCAATTTGCCATGTACCCTCACCAATTAATATCTTTTATTGCATAGCTACTGAATATTACATTACTGCAATAAATATATTCTCAGATTAAAAATAATGTAAGGAAATATTCTGCAAGCATAGAAGCATGTTGATATCTCAATAAGCAAAATGTTTTATCCCATTAGATCGAATTGTTATTATAGATGTGGTGATCAATTACTTATGTTAGAGAGCTTGAGAGTACATAGGTCAGTTTCAGTGCTTAGCTTTGTTTCCCGTGTTTGTAATCCCTAGATTAAGGTCAACATGTAGAGTATAAAACAGACATGGGTGAGTATGTATGTACATGTAACAAAAGCAGCTTACCCCACTGAGAATGTAGACACATAAAGTATAGATCAATCCAATGGTGGCAGTCCCTACGAGGCACAGGAGGAACCTGATGGCATCCCTGTAGAGCTTAAAGTTCATCGGCTTGGGATACAAGATGGATCTCACGAGGTCTCCCTTTGCAGTGTTGAATCCTGAAGCAATAAACACACACCCCACCCTCCCTCTCAGTCTGACAAATCCTATGCTGGTGTTCTTCTAAACCTCAACCCAACATTGCTTTTGTTTTCTCTAGAGTCATTTAAATAGCATTTAACTCTAGGTGCAATTAAAGGGTAATTGGGAAAATATCTAAGTGCCATAATGGAAATATCTTATCTATTTCAGAGCCTATTACTCTGGCCTTTCTTCCCACTACTTTCAATTCCAATGCATTCCAGAGACAGGGAACTACTTATGAGCAGGAATGCACATGCACACATGCTCACTCTCTCTCTCTTTTACACACACACACACACACACACACACACACACACACACACGTCATTTGAATTTAAACTAAGTGGCCCAGTAAATACTGATGGATTCAATTTCTATTACATTTGGATGTCAAGTTTTCTGTTTCTAGCTATGCCTAGAAATAACTCTGGATTTGAGGTTAAAAGACCTGAATTCTGGGTCCAGCTCAGCCAGTGCCCCCTGGCTGTGTGGTTTGTGAAAGTCCACTTGAATTGTGTCGGCCCCAGATGACTCATGTAGGCACTTGTTTTGGAAGTACTGTTTATACAAGTAGTTTATAAACTACAAAGCACATAAATATAATATTATAATCAATATATTATTTTCAAAAGGTGTATGCCATAGTTCAATTCACATTTAAAATATATAAATGTAGTATATTTGGTTTGTTTTCTAAAGACTGCTCCATACCTAATAAATTTAAGACACTAAGTAAACTGAACAAGAACATTTAATTAAAATGACAAAATGGAAGGAAGAGATGCTGACTAACCAGTCTGCAGTACCACAGCTCTCACAGTCCTGGAGGAAGCTCCCTTGGCCTGGATAACCTCTGTTCCACAGAAGAGGATGTGCCGTTTGTAATCTGCTTCACTCTGTGTTTTCCAGGGCACAGAGCTATCCATCTCAGGTAATGGAGTCTTCGTGACTGGGATACTTTCTCCTAGGAAAAACAAGCCGTGCACTTTGTGAGGCAAGATGCCCTCACTCGTTTAAATCATGCGTGCACTTACACATCCTATAGGAGATGTTTGTTGTAAGCCTGCCATGGGGCAAGGACAACCCTAGACACTAGAAATACAAGGAGGAACATAGTGCTTGTTTAAGAGGTCCATAGTCAGAGAGGAACACAGATGTGTAACCAATAAATATAATGCCATGTTATAAATACTATGAGTACTGTAAAACCAAACATGGATGCTGAAATAACCATGTAGGGAATAGCAAAATGTGCAGTTTAGAATGTGGGGTGTTGGGAATAAAAGGCCATGAGACCTCTGTAGAAGCCAAAGCCTACAGGGCCCTAAGTGCATATTTCATTGTGTTGTGTTTTTGTTTGTTTGTTTATTTTTGTAGGTGTCTTTTGTTTGTTTTGTGTGTGTGTGTGTGTGTGTGTGTGTGTGTGTGTGTGTGTGTGTGTTTTCCCATAAGCCCTAGTAACAGAAAGGGTATGGGGAGATATTTAACTGTTTTCGTAGATTAGAGACTGGACATTGAGCTGGAAAATGATCGCAAGAATCCACACTGGAGAACATGAGGTTTGAAATATGGCAACTGGCAGTGGGAGTAGAAAGGAAGTGCTGGATTTGAAAAATAGAAAAGAAGCTACAAAACTTGGAGAATCCTATATAATAAAAGCCTAATATGCTAAGTATCTGGTCATCTAGCCAGCTGTTCAACCAATCAAGGCATGATATGCTAATTACATGCTAAGGCCCCTCAACCACTAGCTATTATGTGCACTGGCCACCAGGGCTCAGATACTCTGACCTGTAGGATAGCTTACTGCTGGGTTCCAGCTGATTGGGACTGAGCAAAACTGGCCGGACATACCCTGGAGCTCTCCCAAAGTCCCTCCCCAGTTGTCCAACCTCCACATCCCTCCCAAGCCCTGATCATGAACCAGTGTGGTCCCTCAGGCTGGCCTGAGCCCTCTCACAATCCGGGACCCCTTGGAGGATGTTGGAGAGCAGGTTTCTGCCTGATCCTGCTCAATGCAGGAGCTTCCCCATGGTGGTAAGTGAACTCCTATGGAGGGGGGAGCACTGCTCAGCCAGAAGCTGGGCTCATGGCTGGTGAACACAGCAGTGGTGATGAGAGCTGATCCTGCCTCCACAACAACACTAAGGATGTCCGACTGACAGCTTAGGCCCTCTCCCCAAATCTGTGAAAGGGTGCAGGCCATGCTTAAGGACCCTCCCCAACCCTCCACCCCTGAGTGCATGAATTTTGTGCACCAGGCTTCTAGTATTTTATATTGTCAGTTCAGAGGGACAGAGAAATTGAAAATGGCTTCCTGGGTCTGACTTTGGAGAATGAGCAGAGGGTGTTATTACTTATCAATGTAGGGATTATAGAAGGAAGGAGGAATTGCCTTTGATCACTTCAAATTGGAGAGGCCTGTGTAACAACCATGTTAAGATGTTTTGTAGCTGGTTAGAAACTTATTTGGGTCTGGAGCTCAGAGGTGAGGTTTAAAGGAAGATTTTAGTCAGAGTTCATCACCTTAGGTGATCTCATAAAGGCGATGAGAAGACCACTTAAAAACTGAGTGTAAGGTAAGAAGTCATAGCAGCAACAATAAAAAAAAAAATGGGGGAAAGGGAACAGCACAGGAAGCTGACAGGTTTGGTTGGTGGTAGAAGAATTAGCATTGCCTTGGAAAGTTAGGAAGAAGAGAATTTTCAGAAGGAAGTGATGTAGTCAAAACCAGAGGAGAGGTTAATAAAAAGAGAAATTTAAAGAACCCATTGGGTACTGCTGATATAGCTCAGTGGTTGAGCATTGACCTATAAACCAAGAGATCATGGTTCAATTCCCAGTCAGGGTACATGCCCAGGTTATGGGCTCAACCCCCAGTGGGGGACGTGTAGGAGGCAGCCAATCAATGATTCTCCTCATCATTGATGCTTCTATCTCTCTTTCTCCACCTTCCTCTCTAAAATCAATTTATATCTATATCTATATAGATAGATAGATAGATAGATAGATAGATAGATAGATAGATAGATAGATAGATACACAGACTTTTTTTTAAAGAATCCATTGGATTTGGCAATTGAGAAATTAGTGACTTTTGCCAGTGAAGGGAGAGGGGCAGGTTGCAGTAGGTTGAAATGCAAACACAGGTGGTAAATGAAGTTGTAAAAGTAGTGATGGCTTCTGAGGAACAAAGCTTGTAAAACTTCCACTGGTTGCTGCAGAGTGGGCAGTATAAAGTCAGACATATGTTCTTGTATACTAGGGCCACTTGGCATTACAACAGTCTGAACACTAAGGAATGTTTATAAATCTAAGGATTCCTTAGGATAATGAAACATACCTGCCATGTTTTCTTTGCTTTTACTGTTTGTTTCGGTGAGTTCACATAGGAGTGAGGTGTGTGTTCGTGTTCATTTCATACTTTCTGACAAAGGGATTTGACTTGGATTTTAATGGAACCACAGGATGTCAGTGTATATTCGCAGTCTCCTATTTAGATCTTATGATTCTTCTTTATCTTTCAGAATTATTGACACACCACCTCCTAATAAATGCATACAGGAGTAAGAATTTAAAGCACTGCGACCTTGAGCAAGTTACTTCTCTCTGGACATCAGTTTTCTTACCAATGAGATGCCATGACCTCTAAGGCCCTGCCCAGCACTAGCATGCTATTTAAAAATGAACTCCAGTTAGTCCCAAATACCCAGGTTTGCCAAATCCTGTATCATGAACTTTTTCAACATTTTCAAGCCAAACCCAAACTCTGTGGATTTCAGAATGTTCTTGAATGTTTTTAAACCCTTAGGTTTATCTGAAGACAAATTTTTATATAAAAAATACTGAATATAAGAACCACAGATAATTCTGAAACGTCTAATGATCTCTACGATATTTTAAAGTAAATCACAGGGTTATAAGAACCCTTTGCTCAAGAAGGAAATGATCAGGATTCAAAAAGTGACCACTGTATCAAAATCAGTACAAAGAAAGCAGCTTTGAATTGAGCTCTCAGATATATCCAGGGCAGAACTGTTAATGAGATTCATGGGAAAGTGAAGGGCCCCCAACTGCCCCACACGTTGCCCTTGTCATTCAGGTAAGGGAGCCTGGGAGCACTGGGAAAGCTGAAGAAGGAGACAGAACCTCACCTGTCAGCATGCCTTCATTCACCACACAGCTGCCATCAAGCAGGATGGCATCACATGGCATTTGCACTTTGTTCCCTGTCAAAACTAATAGGTCTCCTGGGACAAGAAAGCGTGATTCCAGCTCTTCGACTCCAGCTGAAAGTGTGAGAAGACAGAATCGAGTCAGTTCTTTTTCCCACAAAAACATAGCCCAACATCTGCCTAAATTAGAAATCAATTAAGAAAGCAACCAGGGCACTTTTAAAAAGGTTATCCCTCAACATTGATTTAAAAATCCAGAAACAATCAGAAGAAAAGCAATATATTCAATTCCAAAAATAAAAAATAGAAAGAAAAAAAAACTTTGTGAGGCAAAAAATAATAATAATAGTCGAAACCGGTTTGGCTCAGTGGTTAGAGCGTCAGCCTGCGGACTGAAGGATCCCAGGTTCGATTCCAGTCAAGGGCATGTACCTTGGTTGCGGGCACATTTCCAGTGGGGGGTGTGCAGGAGGCAGCTGGTCGATGATTCTCTCTCATCGATATTTCTAACTCTCTATCCCTCTCTCTTCCTCTCTGAAAAATCAATAAAATATATATTTTTAAAAATAGTAATAATAAAGAAAAAATGAGTGAGGAATTCAGGAAACATCTTTGAAACTTAAAATATAGACAAAGATTAATATTCCTAATACATAGAATTCCTTAAAAAAAAAAGAAAGAGAGAGAGAGAGAGATGTATAGCAAAATTGATAGGAGTTGTTAACAGATAGTCCCCCCTCCACCACACACATACTAGTACACACAGAAATTGCAAGGGGTACGTTAAACATTTGAAAAGATGCTCATTCTTACTCTTAGTAAGAAAAATGAAAATCCCTTCCTTCTTTCCTTCCTGCTTTCCTGCCTTCCTTTACTTCTTTCTTCCTTTATTTAGTCCCAAGGCTATAAGGGCTTAAGCAAGATAGATGCCCATCCAGATGTCTTAGTGAGAAGGAGATGGGGGGTGGGTAGTTTGTGTGGATGTTGGAACCTAAGAAGGATGGCCTGGAGCAGGGTGTCAAAGCCCACGTAGAAAGAAAAGGGCCCTCAGAATGGCACTGGCCTGGAGACAGATATTAAAATCCTAGCATGCGAGTGCGGGGGGACATCAGCAGTGACTGATGATGAGTTACATGCAGGTGAGACTGACACAGTAGCTAGATATAAAGAGCCTTGTGGGAGGCAGATTTCTCACTGAAGCAAGGAAGTTATAAATATAACCTGAATGTACTCTGGTCTCCATAGAATTGAAGACAACAGTATAAATTGATGGTTTTCAGTAGACAGATGGAGAAGTAATATAGATGTAAATGGCAATCCATTAATGTAGAAGGAAAGATAAAATTAGAAAATCACCATTTAATTATTGAAGCAATATTTAATCTATCTCAAGGGACATCAATGGACACTAAAACTAGTGGGTGAAAATTTGATGAGGATGATATATAGTCTCAAAGTATCTCTTAACAAAATAACTACTAATTACAAAGAGAAAAAAGTAAATTTACAACAGAAAAACCTGGCAGACACCATTTAATTAAGTGATCCACACTAATTTCAGGAGTAATAGGACAAATTTAAAGTAGGTACCATATGAAAGGAAACTGTGAGAACTCAGCATTACTTTTGTGATATGCCAGCTAAAAAATGCATAACCTGAATTTAACTATGAAGGAACATCAAACAAATTCACATTAAGGAACATTCTACAACATAACCAGATCAAAAGAGTCAAGGTCAAGGAAAAAGTGAAGATGATTAAAGAGACATTGCAAATAACCCTATTGTGCACTCATAAGTCCTTTCCTATAAAGAACAAGAAACCATTGTTGCAATTTGACTAGGTCTGGGCTTTTGCTGGTATTAATATGTCAATGTTCATTTCTGTTATTAATGTTTATACTGCCATTTATATAGAAGGATGTCCTCATCTGTAAGAAACATACACTAAAGTATGGAGGGTTATAGAACCACAAGTCAGTAACTTCTTCTCAAATGACTCAGGAAATAGGTAATATGGAGTATTGTTGCAGCAACTCCCTAAGTTTCTAATTATTTCCTAAAGAAAAAAATGAGAAATATATATGACATAACATTGCTCACCTATCTGGTTAGAGAAGTCTAAGTGTTTGCCAGTATATTCTGTTTGCAAGACTGTGAGGAAACAGGCACTTCCACACATTTCTGGTGCAAATGCAAACGGGTACAAAGTCTAAGAAAATGAACTTGGCAATATCTATCCCTTAAAAGTGAAAATGCATTTATTCTGTAACTTAGCAATTTTACTTCTATACCAATAGGCTGGCAAAGCTATGGACAGACACACAAAAAATATGAAAAGACCTGCACAATGTCTTTTTTTTATTACAGTGCTGTTTGTCATAGTAACAAACTGAAAAAAATAATCCTTCTGTGGAGAACTGACAGAGTAAACAATGACTTCTCCACAAAAGACAGTACTATGCAACTGAAACAATGAATGAAGAATATATGTATCTCTTTCCATGAAAGAGTGTCTGGGAAACATAGTTAAGTATGTAAAATGTATATATCAGGAAATATAAATTAAGTGCATATGTTATACTCCTGCTATCTAAAATCAGCAGCATAAACATGTGTCCTATTCTGTAAATATACTATATAGCTCTAAATATTATGAATGTAAGAATAAGCCAAACAAAAGCAAAAATGGTAACTACAGAGAGAATGACTATATAAGGTATAGAGAAAAGGAATTGGAATCATTTTGTTGCTCGTTGTGTTGATTTGTTATTTTGAGATTATTGTGCATAACAGGAAAAAGAAAATGAGTAATTTGTTACTGTCATTGAGAATCCCCATTTTAGGTATGGAGAAAGGAGAGACAATAGTACAATTAACAACGGTAAATAAAAATAAAAAAACACACGTTTCTAAACATGAATTGGAAATGTCAGTATGAACTCCATAATGTATTTTACCTTTATATTCTTTGCTTGACATGCCCTCTGAAAAGGCCTAGAAACAATTAGTAACACCATAGAAATGAGCACGCCTTATGCTCTGATTGAGGTCTCTAAGTACCATATCTAAGAGCTCCATGGGAAAATGGGTATGTCTCAGTTTGGAGCAAGAATTATTCAGAATGAGTTTGGAATACCTTCTTATATCAGAAATCATTAAAACATTCAGAAACTACAGGATCATGTCAAAGGAACTCAAGAGCCAACCTAAAGAGGCTCTGAATGGCCAAAAATAGGACGATTTGAATAAGAATAAAAACAAAAACTGCAATGGATGGAAATGTATCAACCATGTTTAACTTTATACATTCACAATGACACTAAGAAAAAGAAAAAACAAAAACCTTTGAAAATGCTAGAGGATTAACCCATTATTTTGAAAGCTGATAAAGAGGAATAGCCTTTTTATACTATATACTTTCTTAAACTGTATCTCCAGATAATGAAATAGTTTCTGGACTATTTATAGAAATAGTAATATATATATATATATATATATATATATATATATATATATATATATATGGCTTGATAGAAGTAGAAATTTGAAATTCCTAATGAAATAATAAACCTAGGTCATGAGCATTTATGTCTACTAATATCACAAAAAAGAAGACATCAGATACTGTATCCCTCTCAATAGAAGTACACAATGCTATCTAAGAAGCATCCTTGCCAAAATACAAGCCTCAGATCTGACTATCAATTATAGAAAATACAAAGAGTAGAAAATTATGTTAATAATTCCATGAGTATGCAACTAATACAATCTGAACTGTGGAAACGATGAGATGAGTCATTTATTTTCTTCATCAAAAGATATACATGGAAAGAATATTTGATTTTGGGTAATGGGCACACAATACAACATACAGATGATGTATCATAGAATTGTACATTTTAAAACCTACATAATTTTGTTTACCAATGTCACCTCATAAATATAATTTTCAAAAATTGCAAGAAAAAAATAAGGTATGGAAGAGAGAAAGCTTGGATCTAAATAAACTTGTGACCTATCAACCAACTGCAGTTTATGGACTTTATTTGGATTCTGATTTGAAAATGTATAGACTATATATGTATATTATAAGTATACTAGTATATGTGCATGCACACACACCTACACACTTCTGGCTCAGTTGATAAATTTCAACACTGCCTGTATAGTTTATGATTTTTAAATTATGAGATTATTATTTAAATGTGCTAAAGGAATTGAAAGGGAGTCTTTACCTTTTAAGTATATATTAAAATGTTTTTTGATGAAATGACATGGCAGCTGAAATAGTTCAAAAATAATCCAAGGTGAAGAAAGAAGTAGAACAGAAGGAAAAAGATTCAATGAGTTGATAACCATTGAATCTGGGTGATGGGTACATAGGGTATCACTATCATAGTCTCCACATTGTTGTATATGTTCAAAATATCTTATCATAGAAAAGTAAGATAAAATGCCCAGGACATTTTTAAAAGGTGAAGATTCATTTTCAGCCAAGGTATAACAAAAAGGACCAGCTTTATCTGCCCATCTGAAAAAAAAAGCCATACAAAATATATGAAACAATGGTTTTAGACACTGAACATAAGCAAAACATAATAAAAAGAAAAAAAGAATAAATTGGGAAACAAATAATAATGCCCTATAATTGCTCAATTTACTACCTTTAGAGAGTTTTCAGGCCACTATGAAGGTAGAGGGAACCCAGATTATGCTCAGAGGATACTTGAGTTCAATACAGAGATACAAGTCTATGGAGGGTAACAGACTTAAATAGTAGATATTTTTTTGGAAGAGGACATACAGAGGCCAAAAGACATGAAAACATGCTCAAAATCACTAATCATCTGATAGATGCAAATCAAAATGACAATGAGGTACCACCTCACACCTGTCAGAATGGCCATCATCAACAAATCAACAAATGATAACAAACGCTGGCAAGGATGCCGAGAAAAAGGGACCCTCATGCACTGCTAATGGGAATGCAGACTGGTGTAGCCACTGCGTAGAATAATATGGAGTTTCCTAAAAATAAATAAATAAATAAATAAATAAATAAATAAATAAATAAATAAATAAAATAGAACTCCCATTTAACCCAGTGATTCCACTTCTAGGAATATATCCCAAGAAACTAGAAACACCAATCAGAAAGGATATATGCGCCCTCTATGTTCACAGCAGCACAGTTTACAATAGCTAGGATTTGGAAACAGCCTAGGGCCCATCAGCAGATGAGTGGATTAAAAAACTGTGGTGCATCTACACAATAGAATACTATGCTGTAGTAAAAAAGAAGGAATTCTTACCATTTGCAAAGCATGGATGGACCTGAAGAGCATTATGCTAAGTGAAATAAGCCAGGCAGAGAAAGATAAATATCACATGATCTCACTCATTTGTGGAATATAATGAACAACATAAACTATGAACAAAAACAGATCCAGAGACAGAGAAGCATCGATCAGACTGTCAAACTTCAAAGAGAAGACAGGGGAGGGTGGGAGGAAGGGGGAAAGATCAATCAAAGGACTTATATGCATGCATATAGGCCTAACCAATGGACATGAACACCAGAGGAGGTGAGGAAAAACTGGGGGGATAAGGACATATATGTAATACCTTAATCAATAAAGAAAAAAATAATAATTTTTTTACAATCTATGGAGATTAAGGTGGTTTGACTTCACAGCCCAGAGTACTAAAGAAGAGACAACTGCCAGGAGGAGAGCCACAAAGACCTGCAGAGGATCCCCCTTTAGTATTCAGCAGACTAATAATCAACACACATATGTAAGGAAACTATTAACACATGAACAACTGGATACTTACATTTAAAAATGTCATTTCTAACAGCATCAAAATATAAAATACTTAAGAATAAATCTGAAAAAGAGTGTGAAAGACCCATACACTGAAACCTGAAAAAAATACTAAGAGAAAACACAGAAGACTTAAATAAATAGGGAGATATACCATATGTATGGTCAAAAGACCCAAATTTGTCAATAGGTCAATTTTCCACAAATTAATATACAGATTCAACATAATTCCAATTTAAAAAAATCTCAGCATGTTTGTTTGTGTGTGTGTGTGTGTTTTTGTTGTGTTTTTTTTGTTTGTTTGTTTAGTTTTTTGGTTTTGGAAGAGGGGTTTTTAGAAATTGATAGGTTGTTTCTAAAATGTAAAGGGCCCAAATATTGCCAAAAACAACTCTGAAAAAGAATAACAAAACTGGAGGACTAACATTATTCTATATCAAGACTTATTATAAAGCCACATTGTGTGGAATTGGTATAAAGACAGACAAATAGATCAGTAGAATAGAATAAAACCATGATTAAAACCACCTATGTATAAGCAACTGGTTTTTGACAAAGCTTAAAAGACAATTCATTTGAGAAAGAATAGTCTTTATAACAAGTGGTATTGGAACATTTGGATATTTGTTTGTAAAAAATGAACTTCAATTACAAAAAATCAAAATATAATATATACCTAAATGTAAAACCTAAAACTATAAAACTTCTAGAAGACAACATAGGAAATATTTGAATTACATAAAGATGTCTTAGCTATGACACAGAAAACATGGTCCACAAGAGAAAAAGAAATAATAAACTTAATTTTAACAAAAGTAAAAGATCTAGAAGTAACAGATAAGCACCTGAAAACATGTTCAATGCTATTAGTCATTAGGAAAATGCAAAGTAGAGCAACAATAAGATAAAACTCATAATTGTAAAAATGGCTACGGTTCAAAAGACTAATATATCAAGTATTGATAAATGTAAATCTAATGGGGGGAAAATGAACTAACAAGCAAAATAAATCAGACTCAGAGATAGAGAATAGGCTGACAGCCATTGGGGTGGTAGGGATGGGGTCCAGGTTTTTAGTAAAAATAAAAAGCAAAAAATAAACTCATGGACACTGACAACAATGGGGTGATTATGGGAGGCAGGGAGGTGGAGGAGTGTATAGTGGGGATAAATGGTGATGAAAGAAGACTTGACTTGGGGTTCTGAACACACAATCAGAGCACAGATGATATGTTGTGGAAAAAAATGTGAAGCAACTGGAATTCTCAATCATTGCTGGTGGGCCTATAAAATATCATAGCACAGCCGCTTTGGAAAAACAGTTTGGCATTTTCTTTGAAAGTTAAACATATTCTACCTCACGATCCAGCTATTCTACAATGAGGTATTTTCCCATAAAAAATGAAAGTGTATGTCCATACAAAGATTTGAACCCAAATGTTCACTGTAGAATTATTTGTAGTAGCTCCAAACCGGAAACAACACAAATGGCCAAGAGGTGAATGGATGAACAAATTCATACAGTGGGATTTTACTCAGGAATGAAAAGATGTGAACTATTGGTATACTTAACAAAATGGAGGAATTTCAAAATATCGATAAACTTTAATCCCCCCCAAAATTAATCCAAAATATATTTTGAAAGACAAAAATACATGTTCTGTATGCTACCATTTATATAAATTCTAAACTTGAAAGCTGGTTGCCTGAGCATAGGGATAGGTAGAAAGAAGTTGAGAGAAAAGATTATAGGCACAGGCAACTTTATCGGTAATAAATAGTCATTATTGTTATATTGGTGGTAATTTCATGTGTGTGTACATATGTCAAAACTATCCAATTGAATAGTTTATGTTCAGTTTATTCTATATCAGTTTTACCTCAAAAAATAGTTGTTTGTTTAAAGTGGAAAGATCTCCAGTCTCCCCTTTCTTAGGTAAATGACAGAAATAGATTTAAAAAAAAAAAAAAAAAAAGAGTAGTAGGAACCATCAGAAATATAAATTCCAATCATTTTTTTATTCCATGTGGATAACACAGATCTAAAATAGTGGGACTTACCTTTTCTCGCACATACAGGAATTGTAATGCGATTATGTGCCTCAACTAGACGGTAGAGTTTTACAGATTGCTGAAAAGGAGGGAAAATAGAATAGGTTTATTTATTTGAGGATATGTCTCAAGTATTACTCAGTGAAATGCTCATCTTCCTTAAAAATGGAATCTTGTGGCAAATTGAAATTACTAGCTAAAAATAAGACTGGGTAGCTTGTTATACAATTATAAAAGCATTCAATTGTGCTCTTCATGTAGCAATGAGAAGTGCATATTCTTTAGCATAAAGGAATTTCCCAGCATGCTCTTCCATTGAAAAGAGTTTTTGATATCCATAAGTTCCTATTTACTTTTTAAGTAGATAAATAATAGCTAGAACTTTGATCATTCAGATATGCATTTATACTAAATATCTTTAAGAACTAAGAATTATTTCAGTTTTGGGACATCACACATCAGAATTCTTAATCTATAACTTTATAAGGAATTTGGTGGTTCCTACTATTTGCTTTAGTATTGATTGTTCTACTATATTAAATATATGGTATATTAGCTGAAGCCGGTTTGGCTCAGTGGTAGAGCATTGGTCTGCAGACTGAAGGGTCCCAGTCAAGGGCATGTACATTGGTTGCGGGCACATCCCTGGGAGGGGGGGGGGGGTGCGCAAGAGGCAGCTGGTCGATGTTTCTCTCTCATCGACGTTTCTAGCTCTCTATCTCTCTCCCTTCCTCTCTGTAAAAAATCAATAAAAATATAAATAAATATATGGTATATTAAGAGTGAATCAATAAAAGATAACAAGAAAATATAATAAAATTATATTTTATTTCACATGTATTAAGCAACTTTATGTGAAAAACCTTTTATCTGGTTCTGGGGTTTGGAGGGTTAAAGGTACTCATCATTTAGTGTGAGTTTTTATTCTGATTTTGTCATTTAAGACACTCTAAATTAACTACTTTCAAATCATTTACAAATTTTATTAATATGTCCTAAGAATGATTAATAGAATAGATAAGGTCAAAGACAAAGTGATCTGCTATTAACTCACTTTTATTTATTCATACATTCACTCAACATTTGTTGAACAACCTTTATGCACCCTAGAACTATGCTAACAGTTGGGGATAATATGAATGGTCAAAAACAACAAAATTTTGTTCTTATCATCAAGGAATTTACAACCTAATGGGAGAAATACATTTAATTAAATAATCATATATAGTATATAGCATTGCAATCAGTAGTAAGAGGGGAAAAAACATAAGGTGCTTTTGGAGCATATATAGCCAATAGAAGTGGCAGAAATATTTCTTGAAGAAGTGATATTGAAGGTTGAAATAGGTTGTAAGACCTGAGTTGGGAACTCAAAAGAGGTATTAGGCTTTGAGATATATATAAAATTAGAAGTCATTAGCATATTTTTAGAAGTCATTGATATATGCAGCTATAAAAATAATGAAAAATCTCTGTGTACTTATATGAATACACCCTCAAGACATATTATTAATAATAATAAAGCTACGTAGAAAATAATATGATTATGCTACCTTTGCATAAAAAAGAAAAAAATATATATATATACTCAAATTGCCTAAAACATTTTTGGAAGAATGCACAAGAAACTAATAAAAGTTATTGAAGAAATGGAGGGGGAGAGGAAGGTGGAACACACATGGTATACAAGATAGTGTATATGTTGTATATATTTTCATATTGTTCTTATTTTTAGACACCCATTATTTTAAAAGGGCAGGCAGGGCAGGATAAACTATAAATGAGAATGGAAAAGAGCAACTATAGAGCATGGAGAGGAGTGGGTTGTCAATGAAGCCAAAGAAAAAGAGTACTTGGTAAAGAGGCACTGGAGCCATTAACTATGTCAAATGCAACTGAGAGGCTTAGTGAAATCTGTATTGGAAATAAAAGGATCCACTGTGTGAAGGAGACCATAAAATCAGCAAGCAAAAGACCAATAAGACACCCAAAATTAATGGAGCCCAAGAATATAGCTCATAGTAAAAGAAACACAAACATCTTAAAACATGAACAAGTGCTCCACTCAGTGGAAAACATACTATTAAATTTATTGGATTCTATTTTTGTTTATATTGGCAAAGATAAGAAAAATACTCATCTGCTGTTGGGAGGAGTGTAAATTGTTATTACTTGTGTAAGGGGCATTTGACCAATATTTATTAAAATACTATAGCTAGCTCATGATTAAGTAATTTCAATTATGTAAGTTTTATATCTTCATTTCAATACAGATATAGATAATTATACATATATCTGTCATAACATATGTATTTATATGTGATATAAATTATATACTTATAATTTATATATACTTATAAACATATATGTATGTAGGTGTGTGAAAAGATTTATGTGCAAGAATCATCACTGTGGTATTATTTTATTATAATATTAAAAGACTAGAGACAACCTAATATCTATCAATATAAATCTGGTTTAAAAATTATGGTACATCTAGGAGGGAAGATGGCGGAAGAATAGATGGGCGGTTTCTGAGCCCTCTCCTGAAGCAGAAAGAGAGAGCAACTGATGGTCTTGAGCTGTGAGTGTTTATTAGCAAGCTGGGAGACAGCGAACACCAGAAGAAACTGCTGGGGGGCTGCTGACAGAGGTACCCCTCACAGGGAAGCACCCACGCGGGCTGCGTCCCTGCCCGGAGCTACCTGCCGGCTTGGATAGGGAAACCTCGCCATCTTGAGAGGAAGATAGGATCGTGTCAGAGGCCTGAATATCAACAGCCGCAGCGACCAACAAGCAACTGTGACCCCCAGAACGCGGATCCCAGGCGGCGCGAACACCTGGCCTCACAGGAGTGCCCCACTGCTCGGCGAAAAGGTCAGATTTCGCGGGGAGAGGGTGGAGCGCATTCGCGGCGAAAACAAAGCCTGCGCGCAGAACGCGGAAGCTGGAGGACAAGGGCGGCGATTACAAGTAGAAGCCCCGCTGTTGGGCGGGTGTCACCCGTGAAAGTGGACGGGGCTCCTAACAGGGGAGATATCTAAAGAGCAACGCATTTGGATCTGGCACGGAGGGGTATAGGAGAGTTGCGGGAGATTGAGGTTGCTCGGACCTGCCCCCTCCCCCCTCCGTAGTTCCTGCTTCAGAGAGGACTAAAAAAAAAAAAAAAAGCTGGAGAGGCTCTAGAGTCTGGGAAGTCAACCTAGAAACACTGCCCCCAGAGGCTAATTCACAAATTGACTCTAGTGTAATAAAAACAAAGCAAAACCTGCCTAAAAATCAGGACTGGATCATAACAATAGAGGAAGCGAATGACCTTCATTACCGCAAATTTTATTTAAATTTTTTAAATTTTATTAATTTTTAAATTTTTAAATTTTTGTTTTTTATTTTTGTTTTCATTATTTGCAACGTTTACTCAAGAAACTATTTTTTTTCTTTTTCCTCACTTGATTTTATCTTTATAATTACTACATTGTACTACTACTAAGTTACCTTTTTCATCTTATTTTTTTTGTTTATTTTTATTATTTTTATTTCATTTGATTATATATATATATATTTTTTATTTTATTTTATTTTATTTCAGGAGTACTGTTCTACAGGCTTTATCTATCTTTCCTTCTCCAACGCTTTATTCTATCTCAACCTATCCTTTATGCCTTCACCCTCTTTCCGATATTTTCCTTTGGTACCCCGTTTATCTTAACCCTTTCCTGCTCTAGATTTTCCCCATTCCTTCTGTCTACCCCCTCCTAAAATTTCACCCTACTTCTATATATCTAATTTCCAACTACTTGCTCCGAGCCCATTCACACCTCCCTTGCAGTTGTCCTAAAAACAAAACAAAACAAAAGTCTTTCTCTCTAACACTTTGAAGTTGTATGTTGAATGTTAACTATACTGAAGTTGTATGCTTTTGTTTATAAGATTGATTTGATATGCTTTTTGTTTGATTGTATGTTTTTGCTAGCTGGGTTCTAGTCACCCTTATTTGTGGTTATTAATATTTCAAACACATCCCGATTCAGTCCCCTGTGTGTTATACCTGGTTGTGTTGTATTTGGTGCCTTTAAATCAAAGCAGGAGAGAGAGAACTACACAACCAGACATCCTAGATCATGGGGAGACCAAAACATAGCCCGCATATGAAAGAAAAGCAGGCCTCACCAGAAAAGGAAGTAAACGAGATAGAGGGAAGCAACCTACCAGAGCAAGAATTCAGAGTAATGATCATAAGATGGCTAAAAAGAATGGAAGACAAATTTGACAATATGAGTAAGAACCAAGAGGAAATGAAGAAGAACCAAGAGGAAATGAAGAAGAACCAAGAAGAAATGAAAAATGACATCGCTACTGTAAAGAACTCAATAGAAAGCATCAAGAGTAGATTAGAAGAAGCAGAGGATCGCATCAGCGAGCTAGAAGACAAGATGGAAAAACATACCCAAATAGAACAGCTTCTGGAAAAAAAAATTAAAAAACAGGAGGAAAGTCTAAGGGAACTCTGGGACAATACAAAACAAAACAATATTAGAGTAATAGGGGTTCCAGAAGGACAGGGAATTGAGGAAGACATGGAAAACGTATTTCAAGAAATAATGACAGAAAACTTTCCTGAGATAGAGAAGAAAAAACCCACACAAATCCAAGATGCTCGCAGAGTCCCAAGCAAAATGAACCCCAGAAAATCAACCCCTAGACACATTATAATTAAGCTGGCAAACACCTACGACAAAAAAAGAATTTTAAAAGCAGCCAGAGAGAGACAGAAAGTTACATATAAAGGAACCCCCATCAGACTAGCAACTGATTTCTCCACAGAAACTTATCAGGCCAGAAGGGAATGGGATGAAATATACAAGGTCATGCAAAGGAAGGGTCTGAATCCAAGAATACTGTACCCAGCAAGGCTATCAATCAAAATTGAAGGGGAAATCAGGAGCTTCACAGACAAAAACAGACTACGGGAATTTATCTCCACCAAACCAGCAATGCAAGAAATGCTAACGGGTCTACTGTAAAGTTAAAGAAATAGAAAGCAAAGAAGGAACACAGGGGTATAGAATAAAAATGGCG